GAATGGCAACGTGATGAGTCCTATAAAGAGTTGATCATTTCATGCAACGTATGCCGGGTTTGGGGGAACTCTATTTATATGTTCAAAACGAAACAGATTGTGAATTCAACATAATACATCGAGAAGAGTCCATGTTAGACATCAAGCCGTGAGAGGCTGTACCGTTATTTGAGATAACTTAGGTTCATCTATCTAACTCTGCGATCCGAATAAATGTGGCCATGTTGCTCATATCAAGGTAACAACGGAATTCCCATCGTCGTTGAAGAAACGCTACAGACACACAAGGCCTTTAGCTTGCTTACACTTCCATCAGTCTCTGGTTGACCCCATAACAAAAAGGATTCCCGTCAATAGCTCACCAATCGGGCCGTGGTCAAGGTTTCGCCGCACTCTTGGCGACATGGACCTCTGTTCACTCCGGTTCTCCCGAATCAACGCACCCAGACCCCAGCACAAGTTCACCGCGCAGAGATACACACAGAGGCACGCGACTGAATCATGACCTACGCAACAGGAGAAAGTAGCGCACCGCAGCCAGCAGCCCACCGCGTTGACGACATCACGAGCCAAGACTATGACTTTTATAGTGCTTGGCTCTTGGCGGGCCCGGACTTTCCCCCCACCTCCACCGTCGACCTTCCCGATCCGACCTTCGGCTCGAACGTCTGCCCCAACTGACGGCGGCCGATTGGGCGCCGAAGTCTCGGCGGTCCGGGATAAGCATGCAAACTATCATGCTTTTTTTCTTGGGTCTGCGGTGGCACTCTGGTTGCGCCGTGCCTGACCGCAACACTAATACTAGAACTTGTAACCTTGTCGGCGAGAGCGACTTTTCGGGCAAAGAATGCTACGCAAATAAAAGGCGAATGGCGCCCGCCTTAATTATGTGTTTAACCTGGTTCTTGCTGTCTAGTCTCTGCTGTATCTGAATCCGACTTCCCGTAGTTATGAAGTTCTCCAAGTCGACCGCGACTTTACTGTCGCTGGTCTCTAGCACTGCAGCAACCAACACGACATGCCGGCCCAAGATTGACTCGGAGAAGCTTCAAGCTGATCTCAAGACAGAGAAGTAAGGAGCACGTACCAGTTCATCACACTGTTGTGCGGACGATTGGCACAGCTAGCTAACATGTGTTGTGGGAACAGCTTGATGGCCAACCTGGAAGCTCTCAACGAAATTGCTTTTGCCAATGGCGGAAACCGTGCCTTTGGTCTCCCAGGTTATGCCGCCTCAGTCGACTACGTCTGGGATCGTATCTCTGCCATCCCAGCTACCAAAGCATGGAAGCAAGATTTCCCCGCCACCTTTGGCCAAGTCACCTCGATCGATTTAAGCATTGACGACGAGTCGGTTTATGTCTTTGGTTTGACCTACTCTCCATCCACCAGCGCGGAGGGTATCACGGCACACATCGTCCTCGGGCCAGACGGTGCTGCAGGCTGCGATGCTGCCAACTACGCAGGGCTGGATGTGCAAGACAAGATTGTGCTCGTACAGAGGTTCAGATGCCCAACTGGCGGCACTCTCGCTGGAAGAGTCCGTCCTGCTGCCGCCGCTGGCGCCGCTGCTGTTCTCATCTATCACGATATCTCGACCAATGCGACGGCAGGATCTCTCAGTGCGCCCGATCCCGAGGGCTTCGTGCCGGCTGGCTTCATGAACCTCGCAGACGGGTTGAAAATCAAGGAGCGTCTTGATGCGGGCGAAAGTGTCGAGGCATATTTCCAGCAGACTCAAATCGTCGAGGAGCGCATTACTCAGAACGTCTTTGTCGAGACTGAAGAAGGTGACCCTCATAATGTGATTATGGTAAGCATCAGCCAAATAACCCTTGTTGGATATTCGCGACTGACGTCCCCCATAGCTCGGGGCTCATTTAGACAGTGTCCAAGCTGGCCCAGGTATCAACGACGACGGTAGGTCTTTTTTTTCCGGCAGTCATCAAGTTACATTCGTTAATATCCTCACAGGCTCGGGCACCAGCCTGCTTCTCGAAATTTTCCTCGCCTTGACACAGTACAGGACGAAGAACAAGGTCCGCTTCGCCTGGTGGGGGGCCGAAGAAAACGGCCTTCTCGGTTCCAAATTTTACTGCTCCAACCTACCCGCCTCCGACGTTGACGACCTCCTCGTCTATCTCAACTTCGACATGGTGGCCAAGGGCTTCTTCGGCGTGGCCGACACGGACGGAAGCACCCACGGAAGCGCCGGTCCGGCCGGATCGGACATTGTCGAGCACATCTACGAGGCCTACTTTCAAAGCCAGGGTCTCGAGGTCACTCCCGCCGTCTTGACCAACGGAAGTGACTATGCCTCGTTTTGGCAGATTCTCGGCAAGCCGTTTGGGTTTCTGCACACCGGTACTGCGGTTGCTCAGGACCCGTGCTATCACCAGGCCTGCGATACTATCGAGAACCCCGATCCGAACACGATTACCGTCAACGCTAGGGTAGGTTTAGATTTCCGCACAAAAATAGCTGTTGGACCTCGTAATTCTTTCAGATTACTAACAATGCTTCCAGGCCGCTGCTCACATTCTGACAGTCTTGTCGTTGAACGGAACCTCGCTTATTCCAAAGACCGCCGTCAATGCGACGATGCTCACTCACTTGCAATCAAGAAGCCTTGAGCCCGACTTGATCCAGATTGAAGAATTAGAAGCTCTAGGCGAGAGGCATCTTGGATGTGGGCATGATGTCTAGATCAGACCACTGGGTTAAATTGTGTGTTGTATTCAGAAGGATACAAAACACATTGAAACCGGGTGAATAATTGAGTATGGGCATATCACTGAATGTAAAATTCAATACGTTTTAATAAACTAAACATCTCAAAAGAGAATCGTCATAATGTCACACTTTTTCAGGACTGCATCTCGCTTTGATACATGAGCACTCGTGTGCTGGTAGTGAGTGATAGGCTTTCATTTGACTTCTAGAACATCGTGTGACCTCAATGTGAAGGCTATTTCAGTTTTTCTCTTATTATATCAAAGATGTTCGGAGAAGTTTATGATTTCCAGTAAGTACATGTAAGTAATACAGCATGTTACATCAAGTATAATACTTTTCAAGAGTCCAGGCCGTGTTTCCTCAAGCAGACTTCGCAAAGCCCCTCAGACTACTTCAAGCAAGGCAACTTTTCACAGGACATTTGTGTAACTCACTTAGTGGTGTCTATATTGGGGATAAGTGCCAGCAGTGTATGAGTCGGGTGATACCGGAGATATGACGTAATCGCAAATGTTGTCGTTGTCTCCATGATATTCAAATTCACTCGGTCGCCCGCCTTCGGCACTGACCTGTCTTAGTATCTCGTCAGACAAGTCCGCAGGGTAACTATGATCAGGCAAGCCACGCCATTCCATTGCGAACTTTTGGCAGCCCGATGCATTACAACGGGCGTACTTGACTTAAAATGGGTCGTACCTCAGGTGTTAGATACAAGTGGAATCATGCATAAGCCCGTCTTTGGCTGACCTTGATCTAAAAATTGCCCAGCACGGCTTTGTAAAGTGCTGAGTAAGTTGACTGTCCAATAATCGAGGCAGCTCAAGGAATACGAGCTGCCTTTTCTGATTGGCTCGGCCATTCGTCGCCAAAGCAAAACCTTCCTTGGCACTGAAGTCGACAATGGCCCCAGAAACCGCACTATAGGGCCAAGAAACGGTCTTACTTGGTGCCGTCGGGGATTTCCGTCAGCCCTTCGAAGGTCTTCGCAGCTGACATCGTGGGAATCTTTGTCCCAAACTCTGGGCAAATCAGTTGTTCAACCCCGCGTTCTATCGGTTTCTAGTCAGCTTGCATGATTATATGGTCAAAGCCTCGCCGTCCCAGGAGCACCACCCGTGGGGCTGAAGTTGGTCCTTGTGTTCAAACATCTCCTCATGAATACAAGACCCCCGCTGTCAGACACAATCTTTAAACGACAAGATCCAGACCAGAGGTCAGACAGTAGACTGGCTGGAACTGTCGGCCAACCATAAACAACTATCTCTTACCCCAAAGCCATGCCAAAAGAGCGACAAGCTTCAGCTTTTGTCGAGGGTGGACGACAGAGCCGTATCCTCCCGCTGCTACCGCACCACGGCGCCATTCAAACTACCAATCATTGCATCAATCTCGCGACCAATGCTCCCAGTGACGCTGCTTCCCCCAGGAAGAAGCGCGCCAGTCGTCCCAAGGTCCGATCCGGCTGCATCACCTGCAAGATCAGGCGCGTCAAGTGCGACGAACGGAAACCCACGTGTTTCCGATGCGAAAAAGCTGACTTCGAGTGCGACGGGTACGCAAAAGAGGACGCAGAATCCAGACGCAGCGCTGAGCAACAGAGACTCATCGTCGCGGCGCAAGAACCGCAAGCGAATCCGCAGCTCCTCCCGCGGCCGAACGGCTCCGGGCGAGAACTTGTGGCTCCATTACCCGTGTCACCACCGCTCGACCCTTCGACCCTGCGGATTGATCAGGAAGACGTCCACTACTTTGATCTATTCCGGCACCGGCTTGTACGTGATCTGTGGGGATCGGGCCACTCCGATGCTTGGTCTAGGGTCGTGTTCCAGGAGAGTGCGAGAGATCCATGTGTCCAGGAATCCCTCTTGGCTATTGGCGCCATCTCTCAAGCCCAGATGCTTGAAGACATGTCAAAAGATCAACTGGACGCCATTCCGTCGGCACTCCGCCCTTGGGGTACTAAAATGACCCAGCCTGGGGGGCTTCTCAACCATCACCACAGATCGGCTTTGCTACATCATGGAAAGGCGGTCTCAATTTACAGACAACGGATTCAGGACCCAGTCTCGACTTCACCGAGATCAGTCATCATCATGACTCTGCTACTTGTAGGATTCGAGTTCATCTCGGGCAACATGAAGAATGTCGACACCCTGACGGGTACGGGCATGCGTCTCCTAGAGAACAAGATTTCGCTGACGCAGCGTCCGCCGCGTAATCCAAACGGACACGGAGACGCCCCGCCGGACCCTTTGTAGTCTTTGACCACGCGATTGCGCAGGGGCGTGCGCGATGACGAGATGGAAGACATTGAGCACCTCTTGCCATGTCTTTCTCTCATGAACGGCTTCACCCACTTCTTCAACTCACACCGCACCGCCATGCCGATGATGAACAGCACCCCGATCCTCGAGCTACCCCAGCCGGGTGTCACCGTTATCTCGAAGCTCGAAGTCTTTTGGGGCCAGTTCTTCACCCGCGCAGTCGTGCACATCATGCGCTCGCTGCACCACCAGCTACACTACAAATCGCGAGACATGACACGGGCCGTGCTGGAACAGGCAACCTTTTTATCATATATACGAAGGTGGGATTCCGTTTTGGACGTGTATCTCAACGATCCTTCACTCGAGGACGAGGGAAGGCGAATTCTCCGAAAGATTCAGATCCATCGCCTGTTGATTCACATCGTCATTAGCTGCAGCCTCGACCAGACCGACATGTGTTATGACGCATTCGAAGCGGACTTTAGGGATCTTTTGAATAGGATAGTCACGTATCTACGAGACCCGGGGCCCATTTCAAAGGTCGGCTTCAACTTTATGGAGGGCCTTTCAACCCCGCTCGCCACCATCGTCGCCAAGTGCCGGAACCACGAGCTAAGGATGCAAGCCGTTCATCTCCTCAACAACATGGCGTGGTGGGAAGGCGCCTGGGACGGGAAAGCGCACGTTATCGGCAAGTCTGGCGTGGTGATGCTGGAGGAGAGAGGAATGGACGCCAACGGGTTCATCCCTTCCGGGTCGAGGTGGGTTTGGATGTCGGGGAAATGGGACCTTGAGAAGCGGGAGCTCGTCGCCATGTACTTGAGATTGAAGCCGAATGAGGATGGTACACCGGTTCATGCGCAGCTTGAGATCGACATGGACAACTTGCCGGATACTTGTAGCATGGTGGGATGCCACGGGTGTCATGATCCTTTCGAGTGTTATTAGGAGTGGCAAAGGAGAGTGTCCGCTTTCAGATACCTTGATAGATCAGCCAATCCACAGAAGCATTATGATGGATATCTGCATGGTATAGCCCGGAGTGAAAAGGCGTATTCAACAGTGCCCATTGAGAAGGTCCGGCCCTTATGTTCGGGTTTGATCTGGCATACCGGTTGTAAACATGTCACCTTGGATCGATAAAAGGGATCGAGGTGTCTCCTTCCATTTTGACCCTGGCCTTACCCTAAGCTGGCAAGAGGCTTGCCTACCTGCGTCTTGAGTTTTGCAGACTGACCTGTCATGGATGCCTATCTCACCTTAGCCTCGAGCCAGGTCAGGGGGCTATCGACCAGCGTTCGCCGCCTAACCGAGTTCTTCGCGTCTCTCTTGGTGTCATCAGATGCCGAGATCAGCAAAACCTGTTTACTGTTATGGTTGTTTTTGATTCAAGCTTAATTCCAGATATGAGCTGTGGAGTGAGCCTCCGGATATGGCGCCATGCCAAGAGCTTTATTAGAACGTCCTTCCCCAGATTGCTCGCGTCCAGACAACCCTTTGACCATGTTTCTTCAACCAGGCGAACCAGAGAACTGCGGCGAGGTTGATTGAGTTGCTGTCTGGGCCTTCTTGGATTTCTTGGCATCCCACATCGTCGTCGATATTGCAATTCGGCCTCCTTCTCTCGCTTCCTTCCTCTCCTCGCCGGCCTTTCCTGCCTCGCCGCTATTGCTAGCGCCGTTGTCGTCGACCTCTACAAGCGCGACAGCCCCCTCGATGTCAAGATTGAGTCTACGAGCAACACAGCCATTAAGGCAACCATTACCAACACCGGTGCCCCGGACCTCAAGGTCCTGAAAGCTGGTTCCATCCTCGACAAGCTCGCCGTCGAGAAGACCGAGATCTTTTTTTGGCTGTAAGTGGCTTCTTATAAGTATTGTTGATCCGAGTTCGGCTACTAACACTCGTCGATAGCCGAAAAGGTCGATTTCGATGGTATCTGTTTCCGCCTCGGCACCAACGGCCTCCCCGAGGATGCCTTCGAGGTCATCTCCGCCGGCCAAACCGTCTTCGACGAGTGAAACTACGGCGAGGTCCACGACCTCAGCGCCGGAGGCAAGGTCGACATCACCGCCAAGGGCACCCTCTCCTTTGCCGAGGCCGGCAGCACCAACATCACCGGCACCGCCCCCTTCAGCTCCAACACCCTGAGCGTCGAGGTCGACGGCGCCGACGCCTCAAAGGTCCGCCGCGACTTCCACGAGAACGTCAAGCGCATCGTAGTCCAGAGCGACTGCACCGGCGCCAAGCGCACCACCACCACCGCCGCCCTCTCCAACTGCCGCGCCCTCGCCGCCGCTGCCAAGATGGTTGAGTATTTCAAGTCCTGTTCCAGCGCCACCCGCACCACCGTCGCCGGTGTCTTTGCTAAGGTCGCCACAGAGTGCGGTAGCACCACCTCTGGTGTCTCCAAGCTGTACTGCACCGACATCTACCCCGCCTGCTCTTCTGGCGTCATTGCCTATACCCTCCCGTCCGCGTCCTACATGGTCAACTGTGAGTAGCACTGCCTCCGATACTAGTCTTGCTGAATCGCGTTGTTTCCGGCGGTCCATCTAACAAAATCTATCGCGTTGCAGGCTGTTACTTCTTCAACAGCCTCACCGCGCTCTCCAGCACCAGCCACGCTCAGGACCGCGCAACCACTGCTTTAAGCCTTCGTAGTTGCCCCTCAGGGTAAAAGTTATGAGCTACCCCCAGTCACTAACTCGATCTTCCTTAGCTTCACGAGGTTACCGACTTGACCCAGATCAAAAGCACCGCCGACCAGAGAGCTCTTGCTATGGATACGGCTGCGTCCAGAGCCTGACCGCTGCTCAGAACCTGAACCACGCCGACAACTACTCGTGAATTTTGGTTCCTTTCTATTGAGTCACATGTTTCGCGAGGTCTGGGCGCCCCGATAGTCCTAAGCAGTTCCCTGCCTCTCGAGCCGTCTATACAGCTCTGCTCATCTTTTTCTCACCGGTTTCACTCCACAGCGTTCGCCAACGCCATCTATGCTGGCTGCTAAGCGTTGCGGTATCAAAAACGATCTCGCAATGTTGAGTTGTGGCGGAGACCTCGGCCCGGCCGACTCTCGGGGGTTGGTTGGGTGGCAGTCATACGGAGACATTGTTGCATTAAAGCATTCAATTCTGTGACTGTTAGGCGACAGCGACGACTTACGGTTCTTATATGTAGTCAACATAAATTGCTAGAGGAATAAGTGATCTCCTTTTCGATAAAGATATGTTATTAAGTTGTGCACTCGATCGATTGGAATCGGCTACAGTGTCGGCCCTGGCTCAGCCCCAAGTCTAATAGACCCTGAATATCCAGACCCTTCCTATCTTTACACAAAAAGAGACCACCCGTTCCTTCATTCTTAGCACACCACTAGGTGAGGTATAATCAGATCTTACATAAAACAAAATAGCTTCTTCCACATCAGCGAGCTAGGATGCAAAAGTGAACGTCTCAATCACTGAATGGGATTTAACCATCTTGACTCCCCGAGGTGGGCTCGAACCACCAACCTCCAGATTAACAGTCTGACGCGCTAGCCAATTGTGCCATCGGGGATATTGAGATGCTTTTCGATGGTTCAGTCGCCGTCACAACTTGGTCATGACCGCAGATTGCGTGGGTTGCGTGTGGGACATTTGAAGCCCTAGAAGCGAACCGCATTTGGTCCAATAACAGTCAGGTGGGTATTGGTCCGTCCCGCAATTGGCGCCGCGGAATTGACACCCCACATCTGGTTCAGTCCAAAGTGACTGCTAGGTACCGAAAGTTGGTTTGATGCTCATGGAACGGCAAGATTTCCAATTCCAGTAATCATGGTGTTGTTGAACACAACCTGCACAGTTGGAGAGTTTTAGTATTCATACGCATTCCGCCAGCGAGTTACCGCGGCAAATTGACTCAGCCGTCCCGTGCGGCAGCCATATCCGTACAATTCCCACTGGCTCGGACACTGCGTGTTGTGAAGTTTATTCAGCCGATAACGTTCCTGAGGGAGATACCTTCAATTGGAGAACTGCTTACAAATGACGAAATCCACGGTAATTGGGCTTGGTTTAATCCACGTTATCAAGCCCCGCGGTCAACTAGAGAGCACCTCGGATTATCCGTCAAGTATTGGGATACAAAGAAAAGCGATCCCCATGATATTCATCGTTCCAAATGATGCTGCAGAAGAGTTCCTCAGGCATCGTTTGATTCTTCTATTACCAACAACACGGAATACGTCTTTGTAGACACGCCCTTCACCCTACTTGCTACTTGATTGCGCCTTTAATACCTTAACCAACGCTTGTTAGCTACCTCGACCATGACCAAATCTCATAATATCCTCATCACAGGTGTATCAGGCTACCTCGGAGGCACCTTGCTCGCCCGCTGGGCAAGCGCCAGTCTCACAGGCTATGATAAACTTTTTGCCCTTGTTCGCACAGATGCGCAAAGAGAACAAGTGAAGCAATATGGCGCCGAGCCCCTCGACTTTTCTCCTCATGACGAAGAGGCTGTCCGAGACGCGGTGCTACAAAATCAAATTACTATCGTATTCTACTTGATCGATGCTTTCGCGTTTGTTGGCCAGGAGAACTTCATCAAGGCTTTGAGCGAATTGAAGCGCCAGACGGGCCACGAGGTCCACTTTCTTCATGTGCGTTATACCCCATGCATATCAACACGTATTGATACAGGCAATTGGTAGCTGACAGATCATGTACTAGACTTCGGGGGCCAAGATCTTTTCCAGTCTTGCTGATGCCCCGACGGATAGGCCGCTTTTGGATACCGATCCTGGTCTGTTTGATATCCAGAAAGCCCAAAACCCTTCAATTTCTTTGATGAGAAAGGTGACTTGGCAGCTCCGCTTTGAATGCTGAGAGAATCAAGCTAACTCTTTTGGTAAGCCCGTGGAGACAAACAACAAAGTTATCGAGCTTGCCGAAGCCAATGGTGTAGCATCTTACATCTTTGTTCCTTGTATTGTTTGTATGTCTCGAACCCAATGAGCCCCTGGTGATCGAGCGTTTCGTTGACTGATATAATTTAAAGACGGCAAAGGCGAAGGATTCGGAAACCCCATCTCCATTCAGACCGTCGCTATTGTCGAGGCCGCCATAGCGGCTGGTCGAGTGTACTCAGTGACACCCGGTCGGCCCGTACGTCATGATTCTGTCGTTGACAACCAGGCCAAAAGCTGACCTCAATTTGTAGACCTGGCCCGTATGTCACGTCGTTGACAACGCGACGCTGTACCTCCAACTTCTCCGCGCAATCCTGGACGGTGAAAACCCGGGGCATGGCAAGACTGGGTACTACCTCGCATCTCCTGGTAGCGTGGCCTGGGACGACCTGTATAGTGCGATGGCCAAGGCGCTCAAGAAACAAAATGTCATCACAGACGATAGCGTCGTCCCGGCAGATGAGTCGTCGTTGAGCAAGATGGCTCAAGGGCTCAGCACGGAAAGCTCTCTTGTTGAGTTGAGATTGGGCGGAAAGTAAGAGAACCTCGAATCTAGCAATGGAGGTGGTCGTTGAATAATGGAGAGAGAGCTAACATTGGGTATTCAGGTGCACTTTCACCCCAACGCATGGTGCTCAGATTGGCTGGAAGCCTCAGTTCCCTCCAGAGCACATCCTTGAGGCTGCTGATGACGAGGTGGAAATCATCTTGCAGACACATCGTGGTGATTGAAACTACGGTGACAAGCCGTGGTATAAGAAAGAGTAGAATAGAATGTCGCAGCCACCATGATTTGATTCTTGGTTTCCGATCTCACGCTCAAATAGAATGAAACGGCCTATTTGCGAGACCTCGAATTGTATGATGTTGTTTCGGTCCCACAGCCCGAGAACCATAGTATGCTAGGTAATTACTAGGCATCCTCGACACTTCATCAACATTGATAATCTATTTACTATTGCATCTTTAATCCCGCGCTTCGGCCTTCTGCCAAATACCACCTGCGACGTGTAGATCAACCAGAGTACAGTTTTCAAAATGAAAAAGGCTCAAATGCCCACAAAAACCCCTCTCCTCAAACGCGCTGGTTCTTCGGTTGACATTGGTACTCTTGCAGTCGGCAAAGGAACCGAGCAGGTCGCCTAGCGCATCCCCACTATCCCGTTATCGATCCATTAAAGCTAGTCGATTTGTAATGATTGCGGTTTACCCCTCACAGCTCACTTACATAAACGACGCTTGTCCCCAATTACCAAAGACTCATCGGATCCCGTCATCAGTCGCGGGGATTGCAACTTCAAGTCAACATGCCGGAAACGCTCATTCTCTTTGATATACCCGATCGGAACGGAACCTGCTGGTCTCTTAATCCTTGGAAGAGTGCGTAGCCTTGCTCAATTCGTGACAACCCGATCTGTTCGCATTGGGGAACCAGACTGACGTAATTGTACATTCAGCACGGCTGACCCTTAATTACAAGGGCATTGACTACAAGACGGAATGGCTTGAATATCCCGATATTGAGGCCAGGCTCAAGCCTACCGGGTTGGAAGGCGACCCGGATCAGGTCAAGCCGTACACTTGTCCCGCCGTACAATTCCCAGATGGCACGTACATCATGAACAGCGCCAAGATCATCCAGCGCATTGAGGCCGACTACCCGGAGCCGCCTCTCTATATCGACTCAGAAGTACTTTCGCAAACGTACGGCCTACTTGGCAAGACATTTGAGGCACTCGTTGCTGTTATCCTGCCCGCCGTCCCTCGTGTCATTCTGGGCGAGAAGAGCGCAGAATACTTTCACAAGACTCGGGCGGAGAGGTTTGGGATGTCACTGGATGAACTTGAGAAGACCAAGGGTGGAGAAGAGGCTTGGGTCAACGCGAAGGAACCATTGGAGGGTCTCGCGGCTCTCTTGAACAAGACAGATGGTCCGTACTTCCTCGGAGACAAAGGTATGCAAGCATCTTCACTTTGGTCGTTCCGCGCTTGACTGCGCAGCACAGCTGCTAATGATCGTCTTAGTCTCTTATACAGACTTCGTGTTCGTTGGATTCCTATCCTGCGTCAAAAGAGCCGGTGAGGATAAGTATCAACGCCTCCTCCAGCATTCTGAATCGTTTGATAAGATTTATAAAGCTTGCGAGAAGTGGTTGGAGCGCAATGATCATTGAGTCGATGATCCCTGTCTCCTGCAGTGAATAGAATGGATGTTTTATGAAGAATGCAATTATAATAGAACTCTATCTGTCGTGCCAGTAGTCGCCTCGACGTCGATTGAAATCATGTTCTATGAATAAAAAAGAGCATAGAGTCTGAGAAACATGCAAATATCCTCCATAGATGCTTCATTGCCTCCAAAGTATGATGCTAGCTTCATCAGGCCATGTGTATTTCTTGACGCGGCCAATATCTCGAACAAACATCCCGGGATGAATCCAAAGATCCAACCAAATGTAATAATGGTGACCATGGGAACGGCATCAAAGAGGTACAGTGATGAAACCTTCCTCGTCTTGGAACTACTCAATACCCTCTAATCAAACTCCCAAAAACATGAGGGAGGCGATTCCGTATGTTATGAAGGAGACTGTAATCCTTCCTCCACTCAATGCCAGCCTGCGTCGCGTTTAAGTCATTCGCTTCCCATCAAGCACACCGGTGAGATTGCCAGCATGAAAGCTCAAAGAGGGTGATGACGCCGGGTTGGGCTCCGAGGCCGAATATTATGAGGATATTACCTATTTTGATACCTCCGGATGTACCTGACGCTGGCATGACGGCTCCAAAGACTTGGGTCACAAAACAGCCAATGTAGATGATGGTGTAGCGAAAGGTTGTTAGGCGCATCTCCATGAACATGTGGCGTCGGAGGTCGAGGGAGATGATGATACGGCAGGTAGTATACAAATTGCCGCCACGGCGAGCGGCGGCGATCCCAAAATCTAGAGTTTTTCCAGGATTTTGGGCCCGGTCACGGTAGGGTTCTCGTGAGCTTTTGCGCGTCCGTAGTAGCCAAAGGCTCTACTCGATTTGAAATGGTATAAGACGACGTATGTGCTGTTCACTAAGTTACAGGACCGAAAGGTCCGCCTCCTTCCAGCTCGTTCACCATGGTTACGGGAGCTTCGGCCTTGGCCCTATGCTGCTGATAGAAAGTGTGGGCCTGATGTGGAAGAGCGTCGGAGGGATAATTTGAGGAATAAAACAATAGGAGCAGGTGTCCGGACATTGGGGACAGGTTCGTTGAAAATGCCAAAGCACACATGATCAAATGGAAATGGTTGATTCATAGTCTTTCATCTCTTACAGTCTTTACATAGGTTCGAAGTAGGCCTTGGAATTCAGGACCAATCCACAGTTGCAGTGATACGAAAAAAAATGCAAATATTCGAATTCGGTACCATAATGGACCGTCCTGTGGGGGCCATCGTCAGAAACAGGGACTACCACGCTCCTCATCGGCGCGCCCGTGGCTTGTTGCCATTCAAGAGGAGATTCAAGCTGCTTTGTATTTATTGAGTTCGGGACTCCCGATATCAAGAAATAGTCTCAAAACAACGGCAATCATACTCTCTTCTAATTACTGCCTCCACCCTTACAAGTTACAGCAGTTTGAGCTACTGGCCGGAGCTAAGTTACAGGCAGGCCCAACTTATCCTAACCAGCGTCATCCTGCCACCCTGTCCCATAAGCCTGCAGAGCTCCTTCTGACTCTAGCCCAGTGTCCTGACTTGATAATATTGCTGGGTCCACTGACCCAGGCATTTGATTCACGTTAAAATCTAATCTTGTCATACTACACGTTCGCTTGTAAAAAATTTAAATTTCGTTAATTGCGATCCGGTTTAACCGAATGCCAATCACGTTGAAACTTGTAGAACAAGGTATGATCAAGATAATGTAGCAAACCTCTTTTCGGATCAAAAATACCTTCATGCCCTACCATACCAACTCCAAATGTTTGCAGGTGTTGATCGGAATGGAAAAACTTACTCCGCACTTGCATGCTTGATTTTGTTGTTGCATTCCATGGGGTCAACGGTGGGGGTTCCTGTCTGAAACCGACGTCACAGATCCTCACATTAGCCGTGCATACCGTGACGAACTTCTCTAGTAAGTATTAGACTTATCTTCTTTGGCATTGCACGCGACTGATACACGAGCCACGCCGACCTTGTTGACCACAATATTTCCATAGACCGACTTCAATATCTTGCAACCCAGGCCATCATGGAGTCTCATGCAACGCTCAAATTCAAGGGAATCAAGCCCGGTCAAGGGATCAAGCCGGGAACAACTCTCCGTATTCTCGGTGTGGGCGACTCCATTACATTGGGATTTCTCAGCGATATAGACGGAGGTGATGGCAACGGCTACAGACTCAAGCTTTGTCAAGACCTATCAAGTAGGCTGGTCTCGCTTCACAGGCTGCTGGGGCAACCGCATTAACGTTTACTCAAGAAGATAGAGTCGTCTTTGCTGGGACGGAGACCATGGATGGTACAATGCGTGATGGATACTGTGTAAGTTGGAGATCAGGCCCCCTTCCATGATTTCAGCTAACGAGTTGTCCAACCTCGCAGGCAGCCTGGAATGCCATGACTATCAAGTTCATGTCAGACCATATCGGTGCTTCTCTAGCGCAGAGACCTAATATTGTCCTTATCCATGCTGGAACTAACGACATGAACCCCAATCTGGACATTGCGAAAGAAGGAAACGATCCTCACGCTGCAGCTGGGCGCCTGGGTAGTCTCATCGACCAGATTGTGCAGAACTGCCCGGATGCTACAGTTCTCGTCGCCAAAATCATTGGCTGCCATGATCCTGTACAAATGAGCAACATCGCTCAGTTCGACGGACTGATTCAGGGAATTGTTGAAGCCCGACAGAATACCGGCAAACACGTCCTCGCGGTTGACTTCTCAAGCTTCCCGATGAACGCACTAAGGGATGGCATCCATCCCACCAATCCGGGATACCGCTTGTTTGGCGATTATTGGTACGACTTTATCACGCAGATTCCGAGTGACTGGATCAAAGCGCCTATCGGGGACGACCCTCGTAGGTCTGGGGAATTGCGCCGCAATGTGTCCGTCAATGGAGGATCAACAAGTTGGTGTGACCGGCTGTCCGGCCTGTTCTTCGGCAAGAACTCGGAACACATGTTCAAAGCTTGAAGCTTGACCAGGGATATCGAGAATGAATGAACCAATGAGGAATGAACCGGTCTGCAACTCCGGTAGATCCCCCAGAATCCTGACTACATCTCACTTTGCATGCATGTCCCTTTTTTACCATCTATGCGGGACTAGAAGTTTTAGCCGAGACCTGACCGAACGACTAACAGGGTCTTGTCAGTTGTTTTTGAGCTTTTTGGTACAAGCTGAGCGCAACAATAGGTAAAGCTCAAAGCAAGAACTGCTTCTTTTGTTAAGTGCATTGAAGATACATGAAGATCTAGTCAAACTCATATTAAGAGTCGCTTGTTGAAACTCTGCTGAGTCTTCTTAATTATCCGCTGTTTTGATTCTCGTGCCCCAGCAACATCCGCACAATTTGCTTACTCAGTTTATTCTATGGTTTCTAAGTGCGGCCGAAAACGGCACATTGCCTAATCACGCCGCGAGCTGCTGGACACTATGAGTTCGAGAGCAGACGGGATTCGACCGGCAAATAGAGCAGAATAGACCGGGGCCGTCCAACCTGTTAGAAAAGAGCGTCTGGATAAACCCTTGTCACCGTAGCGTGAAGTGAACGCACCCATCCAATCCTACGTGGGGCGTTGCCGGGGGATATACGCCGGTATCTTCCCCCAGACTGGCAAAAAACGGCAACACCCTCACGCCTTTAGGCTAAAGTCCTATTGCCGGCTCTGATCTTGCTAGGGCTAGGTATGGGTTCTTACCCCGTCTCACGGCCATTCCCACGCGGGGTACATGGATTTTCCAGGGTACCTTCGCTCGACGTGTCGTCACATTGGACCGAGCTATTCCATCAGAGGCAAGCTCGATGAGAATGTGATTTTCTTTGACGAGAGTTTTCGTGGCTGCGTTGGGTCGCACTCCCACTGGTAGCGCCAGGACTGTTTACGCGAAAACGCGCCATGGAGAAACAAGCAAGATCATCGTACCAGATGCTGCATTGCTCACACCCTGCAGCTGTGCCGTAAGACGTCCTCGCAGAACAATAAAAGACCCGACGGTCCCATCGAGGAACAGATCAAGCTCCACCACATCAGATCACTGCGATCCAAGACGTTTGGGACACCCTAATTCAAGCCAACCACCAAAGCCAGTCGAGCTGCATCGCCCACTCGCTGCCCAGACCTTTATACAACTATCTTTTGGGAAAGGCTGACCGACGACCATGGGGGGCCATGCATCTGGCAACGAGGCTTACGATGCCGCCCTGAAAAGACGTCAGGCATTGATGGGCGCCAGCGGTGCCAGGGCTCTTGTCAAGAACTGGAAAGTCGCCCGCATCGCCGCCTTCGCCTGCATTGGGGGTGTCTTATACGGATATAATCAAGTAAGTTTTTCTTTTCGAATGAAACTTGACATCACGGACCGTTTATGGTTCCTGATACGTTACTGATACTTACACATAGGGCATGTTCTCCGGCATTCTCGCCATGCCATCCTTCGAAAAGCGTAAGATTATCCTACCCATCCAGAACTTTTTCGATCATATCGCCATCACCAGGAAGTGAAGTTGAGCTAATCCAAGATCTCGACACCAGATATGGATGAATACACAAAAAATCCAACCCAGAAAGGTTGGCTGACGTCAATTCTTGAGCTTGGCGCGTGGCTCGGCGCTATCCTGTCTGGCTTCATCGCCGAAGTCTGTTCCCGCAAATACGGCGTTCTTATCGCGACTGGCGTCTTTATTCTTGGTGTCATAGTACAAATAACATCCATTTCCGGCGGCCATGAATCTATCCTTGGTGGGAGATTCATCACGTAGGTCATTCGCTGCCAGCTACTTGTCACGCAATGCTAACGCGAACTACAGGGGCATAGGCGTTGGAAGTCTGTCTATGATCGTGCCGCTGTACAATTCGGAATGTGCACCGCCGTAAGTGCGACGTGAAATACTGCCGTGGTGTCTTTCCTGACACACAATTTTGAACAGTGAGGTCCGAGGCGCCCTTGTAGCTTTACAGCAACTGGCCATCACATTCGGCATCATGATCAGCTTCTGGATTGTGAGTCCTTGGCCCCTATAATCAAGTTTGATCGCTCTGGCTGACTTTTAACAGGACTAGTATGTTATAATTCGAGATTTACGTCTTCGTTGGAAAGGTTTCTAACAAACCTTGCACTAGTGGCTGTAATTACATCGGCGGCACTACTGAAGACACGCAGTCTGATGCCGCTTGGCTCGTACCAATCTGCCTGCAGCTAGGTCCCGCTGCCATCCTCTTCATTGGAATGATCTGGATGCCGTTTTCCCCGCGATGGCTCATTCACCACGACCGAGAACAAGAAGCCAGAAAGACTCTCGCCGATCTCCGAGACCTGCCTGAAGACCACGAGCTGATCGATTTAGAGTTTCTTGAGATCAAGGCTCAGTCACTCTTTGAGAAGCGGAGCACGGCGGAGCACTTTCCTCATCTCCGTGATCAGACTGCTTGGAATGTTTTCAAATTGCAATTTGTCGCCATCAAGGCTCTCTTCCAGACTAAAGCCATGTTCAAGCGGGTGATCGTCGCGACGGTGACCATGGTGAGTCATTTCTCCAGTATTTACCTCTCCGCCGCCAGTATCTTATCCACAACATTGAGGTGCACCCTCTGCTGTTGGCCTGATTCTCTCAAATGGAGCTTTAAGCCTCAGCATCCAAAAGAATATGTCATAATGCTCAACTTACCACAACTAAATAAGGGCAATAAAGGCTAACAAAACACAGTTCTTCCAACAATGGACAGGAATCAACGCCGTCAGTATTTCCAAAAGGATCCTTCCCGTGGAAAATTCGGCTAACAAAACCTCCAGGTGCTCTACTATGCTCCTCAGATCTTCAGCCAACTGGGTCTGAGTGCGACAACAACAAGTTTGCTTGCCACCGGTGTCGTCGGTGTGGTCATGTTCATTGCAACCATCCCTGCTGTTCTATGGATTGACCGTGTCGGCCGAAAGCCTGTCCTCAGCATTGGCGCCATTGGCATGGGAACTTGCCATATTATCATTGCTGTAATCCTAGCAAAGAACATTGACCGGTTTGATCAACAACCAGCCGCCGGGTACGTAACCTCTAGCCACTATATTGAGAATGACCGTACTGATAGCTTCAGTTGGGCCGCGGTTTGTATGGTTTGGCTATTCGTGGTTCACTTTGGATGTGAGTTCTCCCGTACCAACTTGGAAATAATTATGAGATACTGATCAAAATCCAATTTCAGACTCATGGGGCCCTTGTGCATGGATCATCATCGCTGAAGTTTGGCCTCTGAGCACCCGGCCATATGGCGTTTCTCTCGGAGCTTCCAGCAACTGGATGTGAGTTCAAGGCAATGGTGTAGAGTCACTCACCAGTTCCTGACAAACTTCAGGAACAACTTTATAGTCGGCCAGGTCACTCCAGACATGTTGACAAGTATCAACTATGGCACATATATCTTGTTTGGATTATTGACTTACCTCGGCGCTGCCTTCATCTGGTTTGTCGTCCCAGAGACCAAGCGTCTGTCTTTGGAAGAAATGGTATGTTTATATTATCTATTGCTATTGCTAATTGAACGATGCAATCCAAAATCACCGTCAGAGTAGGAGGGTATGCTAATCTCGTACGTACTTTAGGACCTGGTATTTGGCTCTGAAGGCACTGCCGCTGCTGATTTCGAGAGAATGGAAGAGATCAACAACGAAATTGGCTTGACTGCAGTACTGAACCGTACATCGCTTGGCGAAGGTTTCTCCAAGTCCCATGACATGGAGAAGACGGAGATTGACGCTGCTTCCACTGAGCACCATTGAGTGCACCATGGCCCGTCGGAGCGCGGCCAATCCGGACGCACGTTATTCAAGACGATTACACGTGCAAGTGACTCGAAAGTCTGCACTTCGTTGGTAGCTTCGTGTCAATCTCAGTCTTGCACAATGATGCATGTGATGGGAGGTGGATGAGCAAGGAAACAGGAGATCATGGCATTGAAACCCTACCCTACAAGTCATCAACATACATAATGATTGTATCACGCCGGCCCTCACTAAATGAACCCCGCACCATGTGCTGTAAATCGGACGAGTCAGCCTCACAATCTGCCTTGATGAGACCTGGTCTAGTGTTATGCAGATGAGAAGTAGCGCTTATTTTCCTGCAAACTTTCTTGGAGAACCACCTCAAAAGTCACAATCGATTGGATGGACAAGTCCGAATGTCGGTATATCCTGCCTAGGTGGCGTCTCAGAGTCCTACAACTCCAGAGGATGTTGAGGCCGCTTATTTGCTTGCTGACAGGCAACAGCCTGCTCAAGGTAGTGCAAATATCTTCGCAGAATTTTGGGTCTATTTCATCTTGCGTCTTTCCGGCACTTCTCAGCGAGCATCTTTTCCCATAAGTTTCATCATTGTTTTCATTCCTCCTGAGTTCTCAAAGAGGCCTCAGAGATTTTTGCTAGAACGCTTGCAATCTTTGTTGAATCAGGATGTCTGCCGAATCCATGATCAACGATTCGTTGAAGGGCGACGATGACTTCTCGGTCATCGAGCGCTTGGCCGATGCCATACGCATTGAGGAAGACATCCAGATCAGCCAGAGAGACCGCGAAGAGATCATCCAAGATCTCTACGAAGGTCCGAAGAAGTGCCAGTGCTGCATCAACTGGATGGACGAATGCCCTCACGGCGTCGATCTGACCGAACTCAACAAGGACGAAGACGAAGACAGCGGCAATCCTCTAATTATCCGACGGCGAGTGAATGCCGGTCGGACCGGTACAGTCATATCCATTCACTCAATCGAGATTCGACACGCGGCCACTCGCAAAGTCCTCATCGACGTCTTCCAGCCTTACGACAACATCGTCCACCGAGTAAAATATCTCACCTTTTTGGCTCCCTTCCACCAGTTCTTCTGGCGCTGGGAAAGCTTCGAGAAGGCCGTGGCAGAGGAGAAGGACGAGACTGTGAAGAAGATCCTGACAATCTTGAGGGGATTGGTCAAGCGTGAGCTGGCAGGGGCGTTTGCTGTGAATAAGGAGCTTGTCAGCCATGGAGTCATCACCTTCAACTACTTGTGGATCTTGTTCGCTCCCGGAGAGCTAATCTACTCTGCCGACGACAGTCACGATCGGTTCTACGTGCTTCGGTCGTGCTCCTCGAGAGATACAGCGATTGACCTAAGTCTCTCCTACATCGCCTGGGGTTCGGGATCTATGAATTTCGGGACTGCCCACGAGGACCTTTCTATCGACAACTTCCGGGGTACACGTTCCATCAACAGCTTGCCAGCGTTTCCTGCCAAGTATCTCCGCGACTTCTCAGGCATGCAAGCAAAACTTGTAGAAAGGGGCCAGAAGTACGCAAGTCTGGCTGGAACACATTACAAAGCATACCATCCCGAGGGGCAGGATACACAAGCTGACCTTCGCGTCATGGTCGATGCAAGTCATCGCAGGGTCTATCTCTCCGCGATTATTCGCGAGGATCGTGACGAAACACTTCAGCCGCTGTTCAGCCAGTACACCGACCTCATCAACCAGTCTCCGGTGGATTCGCCTCCACCAGGTGGCGTGCACATTCCTTTGGAAGAGTACATTGACGAGTGGGATGAGAGACCGAGAGGTGGTCGTCGACCGCTCCGTAATCCTCGACGAGTTTCCCCGTATTGCCCCCCTGTTCCGCCAAGGCGAAGATCACCAGCTGTGATAGAGATTTCCCGAAGGCGCAGAAGTGTCTCTCCGGAGTTCAGTAAGCCAGTGATTCCTCTATGGAAAAGAACATCAATCTAACCAGACGTTTAGCGCGATATGATGCGGATACTGCGGAGCATTCTAGGAAGCTCTTGACAGACTTTCATCTGCAGCTCACAGACCCCGAAGTCGATGGATTTGATCTCAAGGAGAAGACTTGGAGTAAGCAATAAATGGAACGGGACACAATCAACCTTTTAGGATGGTTTCTAATCCGTTGCACTAGGAAGTTTTGAAGTAGACCGTATCCACGACATCAAGTGGAACACGAAGCCATTCGAGAGTCTAGTGTTGCCAGACGGATACAAAGATCTGATCCTCGCTTTCGTTGAAAGTCAGGTCAAGGAAAAGATTGCATTCGATGACGTGATCAACGGCAAAGGTCAGTCGTGGGAGCTCGTTGATGTCTGCAGAACGTTCAACGCTAACACTACGTAGGCGGTGGGCTCGTAGCCTTACTTGCCGGAGACCCAGGCGTGGGAAAGACTCTCACTGCCGAGTCAGGTATGATTTTATCTCTTCAGCAAAGCCGCAACAATTCCACATGAGGCTTACTCCCGCAATAGTTGCCGAGAAGATCCAAGCCCCGCTGTTCAAGATGGAGCTGGGGGACTATCACGATGACGAGCGCGAGAAGGACGACGCCCGAATTCGGTATGACAGAGATCGGTCCCTGAGTCCCCGTCCCCGAGACTCGGAGCGCTCTATGAGCTTCACGACTGCATTTGAACTTGCTGCGCGCTGGGGAGCTGTTCTTCTGATCGACGAGTGCGATATGTACTTGGAGAAGCGCAGCGACGCTTCGTCGAAACGGAACAGATTGGTCTCCCGTAAGTATCTCATTCACAACCGAGCATGGCGCTTCCCGTCTCCTCTCATTTTGGTTATATGACTGACATTGTATTTCAGGCTTCTTGAAGGAACTGGAGTACTATCCGTCACTCCTCTTCCTTACCACCAACCGCGAGCGTTCCCTTGACCCCGCCATCTACTCACGCGTCCATCTAAATATCAATTATCCCGCATTGGATGAGCCCTCCCGATTAAAGATTTGGCAGACATTCTTGGAGAAGAACAACTCGACCATGTCAGACGGAGAGTTTCAGTCCCTATCCAAGATTGATGTGAACGGCCGACGCATTCGCAATATTGTCAAGACGGCGGGTATCATGGCGAGTAGAGATGGGAGATCAGTAAGCTTTGATGATGTGCGGAAGGTGATGAAGATCACCGAGGGTGTCGACGTTGAATCCCCAATGTGAATGGAATAGCTTTGAACAAATTTGCGTGAGAGTAGGGAATAAGCAGCTCATTTCAGTTGTTTCTTTTACAAATTGGAAATCTATTGTACGCTTAAGGCGATCTTCAACAGACTGTAGAAAAATGAAATCGTTTTCTTGAGTTTGTACAGGATGAAGTAAGTGAAGAGTTATATACAGTTGAAATGGGGAAAATTGGATACCAAGACGTTGCTGATGCGGCGGTAATGAAAGCCTTTTCAAAGTCACTTGTGGCTGACCCAGCAGTCCTCAAGAAAAGTGGGCATCAATGGTTTTCTTCATATCTTGAGCAATCAGTTTGTGTACAGCGATCGTCGGCTGAATGAAATTCATCCAAAAATACTCGTTGGCATGCCCGTCAACCATGCAATCCGTCCATTGGGCAGTCTCATCTCCATCGCAGAAGAGGTTCAGCGGCTTCGGGAAGCCAAATGCCTTGGGGTTCGCCAGTATCTGCACCATGAAGCTGAACACATCATAGTAAATAACCTGCTCGCCAAACTGCCCTAGGCTCTTCTGGATGGCCCCGTTTGCTTGCTGGATGACCTGACCCCAGTTCTCGACGCAGTCGGCGTTGGCACCGCAGAGGTACTTCGGTGTCACCGGGGCGAGATGCTTCGGGTAGATGTTGGCGACCATGACGTATGGCGCACCCGTTTCAATAAGTGTCTTGATCTGCACGGTGATCTTGGCTGCCGCGTCGTTTGCAAATTGCGCGTTCTTTGGGTCGCCAAGCCAAAAGGCGTCGGTGTGTAGGCTGAGATCGTTCTCGCCAAACCACAAAAACTGCAGGGAGGAGCGGATACCTGGGGCGCCGCGACCAGTGTAGTTGGCAACCTGTCCGATCATATCTGTCGCCCCGGCATTGGACTTGGTGTACGCGTTGTCAAAGGTCGCCCCAAAGTCGCTTCCGCCACAGCATCCGCCAAACGCGTAGTCCGTCAAGGGAACGCGGAGGAGATCGGAGAGATAGGACACGGCGACCGGGCCGTTGGTCCATGTTCCGAAGCCGTAGACGGTGGCTGGATCCCCGGTGATACCGTGTGCGAAAGAGCCGTTGCCGTTGTCGCTGAGTTCATCACCGTACGCTACGAGGTTGTTGAAAGAGTAGCTTGCCCGGCCGGCCAGAGAAGAATCCTCTATCACGCGCGCTGCGACAAGAGGGAGAATAAAAACGATAAACCCTGTGTTATAAAACATTCTGAAGCCTGAACAATGTGGATTTGAATGGAAAGTAAACAAATATCGAGGAACGAAGTGCGATATGAAGCTCTAGAAAATCAATTCTTGTCAAAGGATGCAGAACTTTGAAGATTGATAAATATGAGCTGAGCAACTGGAGGCATGGTATTTGCGGTTCGACGATGGCGTGCCTCGCTCCTTGAGGATCTCTTGAATTTCCGGTCTCATTTCTTTTCTCCGTTTGTGGCGGCGGCGGCGTAGGTCAATGTCGCACCAACGTGGCTGGTCGCACTACGGCGCTCCTTAAAGGAGTGAGACGCCCATAGGCATTCCCTTCGTGCTTCAAAACGGCATTAACATTGGGTGGTCTGGGCTGGGCGAAGGAAGCATAATTTCGATGCCTAGAAAGTCTCACCCTGCTTGATGAAGGCCCCTGTCTTGTCAACAAGCATGACTTAATGTGCATATGTCAAAGAGCATGAAGACAACTAAGCTTATGGAGGATACCAGATGCTGTCAAAATTTTGTACTCGATTTGCTGAAGTCTTGAGCGCTGGGATGTCCTGTGCACCCCGTAGCTTCACTTTATGGTTAAAGTATCCAAGTCACAGGACCCAGCGGGAATTCCGGAATTGGTATACGCTGGTTCTGACTTTCCTTGTCGTGATTCTAACATTTCAATCCAATATTGATCCGTAAGTCGGTAGTTGCTTGTGATAGATGGGTTAGATCAAATGCATGAGTGAATAACAGGAAAGACTTTTGAGGAGGATTCCCGCGATCAGAAAAGGATAACGCACTCTACAGAATGCAAGTCCTGCCAGTCTTCAGATGGCTATGATCCGCGTCAGAGGCGGTTGACGAAACGCGCACTAGCGTGCCGGATATGGATTGATAATCCAGCTTTCTCAGTGTTGTTCACCAAGCGTCACGACAATACAACTGAGAATGGTCGTGTGATATGGCGACTCTTTCTCAAGCATGAGATGCCCAGGCCTGGAACCGTTATTAGCTTCGGCAGAGATGTTTCCGCTGCCAGGGAAGATAATTTTGTTGGCCTCGGCATTTGGCAGCGTCATGGCTAAATCGACAAAGCAAAATCATGGCTTATTTGTAGCCAGCGCAAGCTTCAGTTGTCGCAGGATACCTAATATATCAATGGCATCAATTGCTGCCAGCAATTAACGGTGTCGTTTCTACGACATCAATTCCAACTAAATCAGTGATCAGGGATTTATCAGGTTACTGATATGTATTTACAGGATTCATGATGGTGCGAGTGGTTTGAAATACTGGTATCGGCTCCTGATTGGATCCTTGCCCGCCATAAAGGCCAGTGAGTTTATGGGGTAGCTTCAGAAAGCCCAGAGCATATTCTCAACTGACCGGTGGCGTCTTTGTTGTCTTGGCGTATCTCCAGATGCTCGAGGTCACCGTATTGGGAGGGGACTAATTCAATGGAGTTGGACCGCGCTGAAGAGGAAGTTGTGCTTCCGGTGCCTGAAGCAAGCAACGCGGGCGTTTTGCTGTACAAGAAATACGGCTTCAAAAAGATTGAGAGGCAGACTTTTGATGAGGGAGAGCACACACAGCCCATCATGCTTCGAGATGCAGTAGGGTCGAGTTCATAGTTGTAGCTAGCACAAGAGTTTGCTACATTTTTCACGCAGAGGGAAAGACGTTAGGTTGTCTCACCTTGGCCAGCGTTCGAGCGAAATTGGACGAAAGAAACGGAAGTCGATCGGTAGAATAAATGCAGCGCATAATTTCTACGCTTCATCACACAGATTGGTACATGTGTATCCCGGAGCTCGCATGGTGATGTGAGGTTGTGGGTTGGAGATGGTCAAAGCTGTGAAGTTGGTCAGTCTTGAATCTATTCGGAGCTCCCGGTGAACATCTCCACAACTTCTCGGGCTCACCAACAGCACGACTCGTGGAAAGCGGCCGGCTGGCGCAATGGTAGCGCATCAGACTTCTATCTTCTCATCCATGAGTTGTGGTTATCTGGGGGTTGTGGGTTCGAGCCCCACGTTGGTCATCCTTTTGCACTTGGAAGCGAGTGGTCTGCTTTTTTGTCTTGCTTCTCATGTGAACGTTGTCGTTGATGCCTCAAGAAGCAGAGATGCTACCTTGTTGGCAGATCTAACTCAATTGAGCACCTCAATTTGATTCTCCAACCAAGTTTTGATCATTAGCATATCGATGTGACAGCTGTGCGCGGGTTGGTCAACGAAGCCAGCTTGCACGAGAGTGGTTGACGGAAACACCAGACTCATCGAGATCTTAAAAAAGAATTTTTTTCATCGAGTGGGTTCCGGCGGCCCCGGGCGGGATATGGACCCACTATCTTAACGGGAGCGGAGCCGTCTCTGCCGGCCTGCACAACCGGTCCTGCCGAGTCACCCAATCTTCAAGTCTGCCATTGCGGCTTGCGCTTGTCGGTGAAGGATTCGATGCCTTCCTTTGCATCGGCGCCTCGGGCATGGAGCACCATAACTCGTCCTGCCCAGCTCGCCGCATCCTCATAACCATCGCCTCCTCTTCCATCAGCATCGTCACCCTTAATGCCGAGCTGCGTCCAAAAAGCCCATTTCCCAAGCGCCATCGGCTGACCCGCCGACCCCGCAAGCCGCTCCACCACCTCCGCAACGCGACCCTCAAAGGCGGCAGCCGCTGTGTCCGTGGATTCTGCGTGCTCGGGCGTCGGGACCACATCGACGGCACCCCGCATCTCGCTAGCAGCGACCGCTTCGGCGGTGAGGAGAAGCCGAAATGCCTGCCCCGGTGGCAGACGCCGGGATACGGCCGTCGCGGGGCTCGTGCACGGCAGCCCAATGCTCGCGCCAGGAAGCTGGAATTTCGTGGTGGAGAGGGCGATGGGGTAATCCGTGGACAGCGCGAGCTGCAGCCCGGCGGCGGTCGCGAGACCATGGATGGGACAGACGACGGGTGCCGGGCTCTGGCGAATGAGAGACATGACTTCGGCGCAGAGGGCAAACGTGCGCTTCAGCTCGAGATGCGAGAGCGAGGCTAATTGTTTGAGGTCGTGGCCGGACGAGAAGACTGGCCCGGCGCTGCTGCGGAGTACGAGAACGTTCGGCAGCCCGGCTCGCTCTCGGTTCCACTCTGCGGCGTCGAGGAGCCAGCTGTACCCTGACGAGCACCTGTTGCCCGAGTCAGACGCGTGGCTCGCGCTCTCGAGCCCCTGCAGAATGGAAGGTTTGAAGGGAGGCAGGGTGAGGACCCTGCCTGATGATGGTGACGTAAGATGCGAGAGGAGCTGCGTGCGGAGATCTTCAAGCACTTCCAGACTCAGCGCATTGCGTCTTGCTGGGTTCTCCAGATGGATGTACGCGGCTTTCGCCGGAAGCTTTGGGAATCGCATCGGGAGTGATGGCCTCCAGAGTCGGCACCAAGGGATGGGTAGTTTGGAGGGTCGCTAAATCATGATATAACGGCCGATGTGGTGTGTCTGGAAATTTTTAATGCCGCCGTCCGGGGTCCAGTCAATCCAGATTGATGACACACAAATAAATGGTACCTGTTAACCACGCAAACTAAAACTCTCTCTTCGCACAATTTTGATATTCCACTGTCCGTCCGTCTCAACAACAACCCATGTCTGATGAACAATGGTCAACATGATCCCTGATTGCCCAGGCACAAAGTGCGGCACAAAAATCCGGCATTGATCACATGTCTTGGTGAGCAGTAGTCCCAGCCGCCACCCACTCTGGTTGGACTCGGGTCAACTTGATTGTGAACTTGGCTCTTGAGTACTTGAATATTGACTTTTGGACCTTTCAAGGAGATGAACATGAGAACAATTCACTTGAAATGGTTGCTTGGCGAGTTATTAACGCCGCGGTCTGCGCCTTCAATGAGCAGGCAGAGCCTTGGCTTTTCTGCTTTTAGGTCATGTGCAAACGGCCCGAATACCTCGTGCAGAGTAGAAATCCGAATAGAAATGGACATTCATATCTCATCACCTACTTTGATTTCCATCGACCTTGAGCGCAGCTCCAATTCCAACTCCTCTGGAACCGTCTGGCGTATCATCTGGTGTACCACAATACCTTTCCTCTTCGGACCCCGGAATTCACGTCCAAGATTCAGCTCAGGAGAATCCAGCGGGTTGTCGTAAAAAGCTCCACCGAGTTTCTGGATGAAACTGTACCTCTCTTGCATGTCCTTGGCGTTCTTGATCCGACCGAGTCCCTTTTTCAGACCGTCCGCTTCAAAAGTCCGGAGAACCCAAACGCCTCCTGCTGCTGGATACCCGGCAATAACGAGATCGCTTCGTCGGGAGTTAATTGGGTAATCCCCAAAGTTGAAAGGATCTTCTAGTTCGCGGGGATATTCGCTCTCAGACCACACTGCGCCAAGCATGCGCATCCTTTTGCAGTGGGCATCTTCCTCCGCCTGGTCTTCCGATCTCAACGCGGCTTCGAAACGGTCGAGCTGAAGAAAGTCGAGGTCCACGCCGACGCAGTCGCCTAGAAAAAATAATCCGCCGTGGCTTGGCCATCCTCGCACAACGGTGCCGGATCTCGGTCCAAACGAGGTCCTGTAATGCTTCTCTGGTGTCTCGTCCATGTAGCCGCGGCAGTACGAACAGAGAGAACAACCCTCGTCATCGTCGTAGCCCCCTGGTGGCGGTTTGATCGTCATAATCCGGTAGTAGTTGACAGCCCAGGACATGAATCTGACAGTAATGTAGAAATAAGACGCGACTGATAGGGAGTACAGTACAGCTATTTGGATATGTAGCATCTCAGCTCTACCTTTCGACGTTTTGAACAATGTTTGTAAAGGGGCAGGAAACAAATTCAAATTCAAGGTCATTCTTTACGAAGAGCAAGTTGACTCAGGAAATTCGAGACTCTCATCAATTGGGGCGGGTTGGTCACTCTCCTGATTTTGTGGTGAATCGCTGACTGCTGCCTGTTTCGCCGAGATATGTAGTCCACTCCCGCCTTTTATGCTGCCTGCACAATTCGCGCCAGGAGAATTGATAGCTGCTGCCTAGTCTAGGGCTATGGTCTGTTAGGTCCTTCATTGACATTCGAACCCGCCAGTAACAATGATAAGTCACGATGAGATTGAAGTTTTGTCGCGTCAGGTGATTTGGTCAGAATAGGAGTTGGTCATTCTATCGCCCAGAGCTTTGAGTTGATGATATTACAGTGTCTCCTAGCCCTTGAACACGGCTTACACGGACATAAAATAAGGTAGTAGCAAAAGTATACTTGAGATGCTACCGACCCCTTCATCCGATGCTTGTCAATGTTCCGCATGCTTCGTGTCGGGGTACACTCTAGTGGTCTAGCTAGCAGTCACCAGCGGAAAAAAGCTCCCCCGGTCAATACCATATCATTCGGGGATATTTGCCAGTCGACAAGTCCGTATGTGTCTCAATCTCTGAACTCAAATCCTCCAAACAGGCAAAAGCAAAGGCCAAACTTTAATAGAGCAGACTGACTTATTTTCACCCTTCCCATATGACCGTTCAGTCCGTAACCGCTATCTTTCACTGTCTGACCCTTCCTTGGTGGACGCCGTATATCCTAATCACAAGCTCTGGAACCTTGTCAGCTGCTTTGAAGAATCTCCCGCCGCAGTCTGCAATCAGCCGGCATCGTTCCTCCATGTTCCTTGCGTTGTGTATCACGGCAACTCCGGCGTCAGCCGCTTCTGCCCTCGTAGTCTTCAACAGCCAGAGACCACCCGCGGCCGGATACCCAGCAATCACAACATCATCCTCCCACGTCGCTTGTTCAAAAGACTGATTGACCAGATAATGTGTCAAGCTCTTCCACCAGTTCGGCCCGAGCTTCACCATTCGTGCGCAGTGGGCATCCTCCTCGTCCGGATCCCCTGACCTGAACGTGGGCTCAAAACGGCTCAGTCCCAGAAAGTCCAGTTCCACACCGTCGCATTTCAACGTGTAGCATCCGCCTGTGCTTGGGTATCCGTAGACTGTGGTCCAGTGGCCGAAGCCAAAAGCCGTCCGGCGGTTAAGGAGCAGGCGTCCGGCGTCGTTGAACCCGCTGACTAAGCGCTCTTCGCGTCCCATCGCTTGGCGCAGTCGGTTTTCTTTCCGTATTTCGGCGCAGTGGCAACGTCTTTTGCTAGGATCATTGGTGTCATGTCCGGCGTTTGAGGTCGTTGCTGCAAAGGACGACATGGTGGGTACCGGCCGGTTGGACGGTTCGGTTTGTGAAGCAAATTGAACTGAAAACAGAATCACGGCTGTGAAGGAGATGATAGCAGCAGTGGTAAACAGGTTTTGTGACATTCTTTGGGGGTAACTCGGTCACTCGCCGGGCAGACTACACGGCCGTCGGGACCGATGCTAGGGACTGAGATGTTCTCGGCGGATGTGTAGCCTCGACGCAGGGCAGAGTTGCCGGCGGCATGCTTAAAGTAGGTTTGATCTAGTATGGTGCATCAGATATAGGCACAGCATTAACAGCGAATGTAGCAACCTAGTCCTTTCCGATAATGCCGCACTCTCCATTGCTGCCTTGAAGAAGACTTATGGACAGACTATCCAGTCGAAAGTGACCTAATGAACCACTTAGGATTTGTTACCTCTATACGTACATGTACTTCAGGCACAGAAAAAGAAACATGCATGCGAACAATGATTGCTTGAGTGCCTGCTCTTGAGATTGCGATGATGAATCCGTGTGAATTCTTGGGGATTTCCACGTCACCCCTTGATCGACGCGTAAGCTACTGCTGCCTACATGGAGACGGGAAGTATTATGGCAGCCTGCGACAGGGCAGCAGTGCGCACGTCAGCCAAGGATCACGGATTCTAGTGAACAAGTATAATCAGAGAGGAGAATTTCCGTTGATGAATTCTGCCTCCCGAGATAAACACAAGATAGATTTATGCAGTATTGATACGAGAACTTGTGCTGAACACGATAGGTGCTGAACTAACGGTAAACAAGTATGCAATATTTTTCCCACTAGCGCCGCCAAGCTTTGAGAAGACAATACGCTTTTCCATGAGGGGGAATCATGAGTTCGATAAAAGGTCGCTCCCTTAAAGAGGTCCGGTGGCTAGGCACACTCTCCTCGGGAACGATGCGCAACCATATCACGACCGGGCAGCAAATGATTCACTATGGTTCAACGGATTCCTCGCTCGGCTTTCGTCGATGTTCGTATATCTCGGTGTGGATAACAACTTCTTCTTCGTCGAGCTCAGACGATGGTGGTGGCGGGGCTGGAGTCTGGGCAACTTCAACGTTGGATTTCGGGGTCGCTTTACCGCCAGAGTTGATCCAATGGATGACAAAAGCCGTGAAAAGAACTTGGGAAAAATTAGGCTTTGACTTGACATGGAATCGTGACATTTGGTGGTGGGAAGGTTCAGCCGGTGATGATGTTGAACTTACTGTCGGTGTTGCAACAAGTGAAGCAAACCCAAACTATTTCGCCTCCCAGAGCTACTAACACTGAGAGGTTCCTGGGAAATCTTTTAGCCAGGTCCAAGCTTTTATGCCTACTTGGGCTCTTCTTACGCGACGCTAATGGCCAATGTGCCGAGAACACCGGTAAAAGTTCGTAACGCGAGCCTACGTAACCTTACGTTGGGTGGAACTCGAGAGAGGGGAAGAGTATTCCCATGCACCGTCTGTGGCCTTATCATCGATATTTGAATCGAGTGGAGTCCTGATGGGTAAAGTTAGAATCTCCTTGGAGAAACTGAGGAAAAGCACGGTTGAAAATTGTGACTTACTAAGAAGCGGAAACAAGAACAAAAATGTCAGATACACGTTGACGACAGCGTCAAAGAGAATGACAGGCAATATGATGGCTCGCTCCAGTCCAATAATGCAAATGTCATCCTCCTCGTCGTATCGGAATCCACGGCTAGTAGGGCAGATATTGTCAATATAACCGCTGAGGACATTGCTTGAGGCCACTCACGAGGCAAAGTTGAATGCGGCTACAATGCCGTATATAGCTGATAGCAGTCAGTCGGAGCTGATTTGATAACTTGGACTTGAACTTTGACATACCCAGCACGACAAACGAATTGAAGACGTACAATTTGGACTTGAGACGAGACTTGGTGGTGCTTCGGATAACATGCTAGTTAATGCATTAGCGAAAAACCTGGTTGGGATCGGGGTTTTTTTTTTTTGGAAAGTTTTACCACTTTATCAACCATGAAGAGGTAGACGAGCTAGTTAAAGAGTCAGATTCGCTGATTTCATTCTGTAAGAAGACACTACTCACGGTCTTTGATGAGATTAGCAATGCTACATTCAGCCGAGTTGGTGCTCGACTTACCTTAATTACGATATAGGCAGTTAAGCAGAGTATGCCCGCCGCCGAACATGGTAGGAAATCCATGCGAATCTCAGCCAGAAATAAGAGCTGAAAAACCCAAGATCCAAAGACGAATAGGCATGAAATGAGGTAGATCAGTAGAGCCACTGCAACACAACATATCAGCCCAAACTGGCCCATCAACCTTTGAGCTATTCCTTACGCCATCTTGTCCACGGCAATGGACGCCAATCTTTGATCACGGACCACTGGTAACCTTGAAATACATTAGACCTTGCCGAAATTCCTGCTGCAACGATTCCCTCACGAAGTAGATATGCCAGCAGGCAAGATGAGACTGGTGCGATGATGAGGCTAATGATCTGTTCGAGGCGGATATCGTGTCTTGGGCGACTCGACGTCTCACTGGCTGTCGATTTGAAGTCGTCCATATCGAGGGGAGGTTCGCCTAAAGAGCGTCACGGCGGAGGAAGGCTTCTGACCTCGTTCCGATGCCGGTATCCTTCGGTATCCTTCAATATCAACGCTTGGTGGCACGTGCAGAAGAATGACACCCTGATACCAAATAGTCCTTGACCGGGTCCGCTGGCGTGCCTTGGTATAAGTAGATTTCAGACTGATGAAGATAAGATTCGGCAAATACATGTAGGGAAGCTTAAGGTTTGAGGCGTTGCCGCTGGGTTCCTGTGCCATAGGATAAAGACTGCCATTCGTGGACAAGGTTCTGAAGGAAGCTTATCGACAGTGTAATGGCTCGTTTTTGGGTTTGGGCTACTTTGGTCGAAATTTCAGGCTCACCTGTCGAAGTGATTCCAGAAGAGCTCACCGCTTTGCTGGTACCGTCTCTCTGGCGGCTTTGGCTAAGCAGTGCTTGTCAGACAGGTCGCGCTTGACGTACTGCCAAGGTCAAATGTTGCCAAGGGGAGCACCTCTACTGCCAAAGCGCAAGTCCGGCGCGCATTGTGCGCGGCATCTCATTCACCCCGAGGTACTGGCATCCTCGAAGCCCACGGCGTGTCTTACTGGTCAGACACTGCTTTGGTCCGACGCTTGAATTATTCGCCGCAGCCAGTAACCGCAGCACACTTGAGACGATTGTCACGCCACGGGCCTTAAAACTTCACAGGGTGACCAGGTAGTAACATGAAGATTCTGTAGGACCGCGTCAAGCCTTTTCCAGAAGCTAGTAATCGTGAACGCCCACTGTTGTGTCATCTTGTGTAGAGTATTCTTACTAGAAAAGGATTGCCGCGAGGGATTCAGCGATGCCTGCCGGACAGAAATGACACGGCGCCCTTCTCCCACACTTGGTCGGTTTCCATCTCCCCTGCAGCAGCCCGTTTCTGTGCATTGGGGGTAAACCTTAACCTCTAAACGGGATCGTTCGTAGAGACAATAGCGGGCCTAAGCTCTGCACTGGAGTTGTTGCGAGCCAATCGAGTGTTGGGACTGCTTGTGAGGTGAGTGTCATAGCTCCTTTTTAAGCGGCAATTGAGACATCAACCCGAAGTAGCCCTCGATCTATATCCATATTATGCGGCCCGGACGTGAGTTTCTCGGTCCCCTATCTTTGGGAATCCAACATCCCAGATAAGCCTTAGAACCATCGCATTTCAACGTCTTTGTACATGCATACAACGGTAGCACTATCTTGGAGACACATGGAGGGCCCTGTTTCCCCTGCTTGGTGACTCGTTAGCTTCTTTTAAATGTCCGTTCACTCCGGGCAGTATTACCGAATAATTTAACCGTTACTGAGCCCTTTATCATCGTTAAAGAGACTTCAATTCGACATTGTGTGCTTTATTAACTGTTGAATCTCACACATTGACTGCATGTTCATACATATACCATAAGCGCGCAGTCCTTCGTCGATATATCAACCGGCATAGTGCCGTCGGGGTTCTGTCCGGATCGCCTTCTGTGGCTGGTCTGTCTTCAATGGTTCTGCTGACCGGGCAGACAATGTTGCGACGCACGATATGGTGCTGTTTGTGCTGCCCGTTGATTTGCGTCACAGACGCGTTGCTCGGTGCAGGTGGAGCATAGACTTTACAAAGTAGGCAGCTTTCCCCACCAAGATACAATCATCCACACGCATCATCGTACTAATACTAGACACCTTTGGTGTCGACATTCTCGGATATATGTAATACTACGAGGGTTTGATCCCCAAGGCTATGGGATACCACCGTTCCTTTCTCTGACATTGGGTGCTCACAGAGATAAAGTCGCCTCAGAGTAGAGCCTCAATATCAATATCACAACGGAGCTTTCCGCGAGGGAAACGCCAACGGGAATGGGCGACGGAGTGAAACGGTCTAGGAACCTGCTCACGGACTCCGGGCTGTGATTCAGTGACGCGTCGAATTCTGCGGTACTTTTTCAGGTGACAGCTGCACCAGACTTGGCCATAGCCTGAGTCCTGGGTTCTCCCGGCCTTCTCGAACTCTACTTCGGATTCTCCCGAGGGTTCGGGAAAGTATGCCGTTCGGCCAAAACACCAGTTGACGCCGATAGGAATCGAACCCAACTTAGTCTACTAAGCGTACCCCCGCTTCACATCGGGGTCACTTGCCCTTTCCGTTGGAAGAGGTGGAGGGAGGGGACAAAGAACTGCTGTCTTGGCGTCCGGGGCACCCCCACATCGGCCACCCATGTCGGCACCCAGCATTGGTGATCCGGGCTGCCGCGCAGTTGATTCGGTGTCGCACTTGCTACTGAGCGCCACATGCACCAGGGTTTGTTTAGACTCTGGCGGAGCTTCCCTAGGGCTGAGGATCACTTCAGGCCGTCGCCCACAGGCTATTTCGTGGTCTGGACCAGACTTTCCACGGACCACTTGGTCATTTTACTTGCCCAGTTGAGAAATCCTAGGGGACACTTCATTGGTGGAGAAAACGGCCGCAGAAACGTTATGTAAAGTAGTTACGGTTTTGAAGTAGATACTGTGTCTGGTACCACTATGGAGCAAAATGTGTGGCCAGACGTGCCGGCAGTCAGTACATATCAATTGCCGCGAGTAATCCCGGCCAATATGCATAAATTTGCCCAGCCCTCAGCTGACTTTGCTGACTCTAACTACATTTATTCATCGGCAGTTGAGATATCTCCTCTCAACGAGGCCCCTTCGCCATCGTCGCGATGGGGATCTTGACGAGAGCACACCAACGGATCCTTGATTCTACGTCCTCGCCCGGATCTATACTTTGACTGACTCGCCTTGATGTGACAGCAAGGTGAATTTCTCAGCTGATCATGAGGTCTGTCTTGGAACTTGAAATTACAGTTGTTTGTTGCGTCAGACACTAACTTCATCCACGGCTTTGTTGATCTTAGAATTAATCCCGCATCGGCGTATAGCTCTCGCGCGGTCTCCGGCTTTTGACCAGAACAACAAGACATAAGTCGTGATGCATGAGGACCAGCCTTCCCTAGCTACTACAGCAGGGATATTTGTACGAAAGTCTGTTCCATGCAGTTCAACGGGCTTCGTGAAAGCCGGCGCGCCGTCCAAGCGGCCAAAAGTCTGGCCCGACGGTCCGCTTATAAGTAAACAGGTGGAAATAGAGATCATTCCGCTGCAATCTAGGATGCGCAAAGATAACCTCGGCATCTCGAGAAATCATCCTCAACTTGTTCGATGATCTGTAAGAGGACCCATGTTTTCAGATTTGACTGTCTTTCGAAGTCTGCTTGTTTGAGGTCACTACGTTTTTGGACTGGATCTTGACTTCTGACTCTAAGATTCGGTGCTACACACGGTGATGTGATGTGAGACTCCATTTACCGATAGGCTCGAGACGTTGCCAAGCTCTGCGGTGGAGCTGACGTTGTTTTGGAGGTTCACCGTGATTAACACAGCCCCGTTTAAGCCGTTTGCCCCTTCTTTCACAAGGAGCCTGATAAACGTCTCCCGAGGATGTCTTTTGAGAACAAAATTAGTACTTAGACACTTAATGTGTTGTTTCTCATTAATCTTTGATCCTAGTAGCTGAATTGATATTTGGTCCGGAGATCAGCTTTTGTTCATGGAGACACAAACTCGTTCTTGCGTCCTTATCCTTACCTTCTTACTGTCGTGAAGACAGGTAGGCCCATATCAATTTGTAGAGCAATGGGTTTATGCCCGAAATGAACAACCTGCAAGTTGATTTCAATATCAGCCATTGCCCAGTCTCAACAGAGAAACGTGTCAGTGAATTCACCAAATTTATTTTGCTTTCGTCAGGTAATCATGATCACAACGGTGAAAATACGCAGCATTCAATAAAGGCATCAGCAAACTCAACCTTAGGACTGTAGCTAGCGGCGGCCAATGATCAGCAATAACCGCCTGCGCTTGAAGGCCCTATGCTGGATACTCCTTGGCAGTTTCCACAGGAAAGCGCCCGGCCTCCATGAGTCAACGCACTGGCATGTTGAGTTTCAAAGTCATCAGTGTTCAAAGGTAGTCTATGACAGGCCCTAAGACTGAGATTTGATCGGCAAAGCCACGGACGGCGAATCAACGTTCTTACATGCTTTCGGGACGAAGCAGTTTGAATGATGTGGATGAAAAACATAGAGAAGTAGATGATCACTCGAATCAAACTTGACAAAAGGTTTCCTCTCTGAATGACAGTTCATCCTTGCGAAATGGCACTTCAGCTATGTTGACGATCAATCTATCGACTGTCCTGGATTGGAAGCTCGGTGGCATTCTCGAGGAGTTGAAGACAAACTACTGCTGGTGCAAGGTACCCAGAGTATTTCTCTCTCCTGGGAACGAATACCGAACACGGAGAGCCAGTTAAATGGATTTCACTATCAGATCGTGTCGTAGAGCCACAAGTGGCGCCGCCCAGTAAATTGCCACCGGACACCGCTTACCACGGAATGACCGCTCCGTTGGCTCGCTCCGTACGGCATATAAATCCGTGATCTTGTTCTAGCTTAAGCAAGCCACTTACTTACTACTATTTATGCCTTCCGCTCGATGCCTCCTCGCTTTGTGATAGATCTATAGTTAGTAGAGAACACGCACAGTCGACTTGTGGGAGCCGATCGAATTCAAAATGGAGTGTAGTTTCGCTTACGGCGGAGAGAAGCACATACTTCTGTAGCGCTTCAGTACTCATTTCTGCAGCCTTGCAATGTTCCCGTGACTCAAGACAATGTATTCAGTTTCATGTGAACATGGAGGTGCGTCAGGTTAGGCTACATAGCTCAACATCTTTTCCATTCATCCTGGTCTTACTTGGGTGCTGTGCAAATACCTAGCGGACTTTTCTCTAGACTCTGGTATAGACGAAGACAGAGCCTCGGTGCCTTTTTCGATGCAATATGATTACATGAGGATTCCGAGCTTCCCATCAGAAAGACGGATCGGTAACTTCAGCGAACTTTTCGTTTCCTGCTGTCGGGTATGCTATTCTGCTTCAGTTTCTTGGGCAGTCGAGATGTGGTCCCAAATTCGTCTCAGCTTGCTGATGAGTCCGTTACGAGATTGAATCATGCCTTAGGCGCAACCTTTTTGCCGGAACAGACTTATCCACGTCAACGTGGATGCAGGATTTGCAAAACGACGAGTAACAGATTCGTCACCAAATTCTTTTCATGAACAACGTAAAGTTCCTTGGGTTCGAGGGGTTTCAATCTAAAAGCCAAGGATAGTGGCTGGGTCGAGTCCTAAGCTGCCGGAACCTAGCACGTACTTTCAATGCGCCGTGATACTCAAAGCCTACCTCCTAAAATGTCTCTTGCTGCTCAGTAATTGTTACTCGAACAACCGTTTGTTATTACGGTCTAAGATGAAACAAGTGTTACTCAGTGTACGCATGGGTAGAAAATCATGAAGCTTTAGATCAACCCCTTGCGTATACTCAGAATACACCACTCTGCGGAATGAATGCCAAGACGCCCATGCCCGGCAGCTTTGTTCCCTTCTCCTCAAATTCGTTCAAGATCCGATCCTTCGCACCGAAGCATCGTAAGCCGCTGTTTCGCTCTGCCGATTACCGGATTTCGTATACCACGAATCAGACAATGACATGTACACTTCAGGGTCTCTCGTGCTTTTCTCAAGCCATGAACGCAAGCCTCAATAAACTGCTCGGCTGGTGCTTCAGAACGTTGAGCCGAGCTGAAGCTTGGATCTAGATTTTGAATAGGACATACGTAGAAATGAGCGAGCTTCGGGTCTGGATGTGCTTGGATCGCCTGCGCGTTTTGGCTCTATTGTTACTTGTAGCGGTGGCATTTTCCGCCGCAGATTGTTCGCAGCTTTGGGTCCATAATTATCAGATAAATTTAGTCTTCCAGGCCACAATGCGTGTTAGGTTCCAATACATCGACAGCCGCCGGCACTACATGCCGGCGGCTACATAACGCGCCGAGCACGGCTAGAGGAAGATCACGGTCCTGCAGCCACTCTCCTACGTAGGAACCCTGCGAAGAAATTTTCCTCACCTACCTAGTACAGCCAAGCTTCGTACAGCCAAGCTACGTAAATTCTGCCCTCTGGCCCAGTGGCTTTGTTTGAGGAAACGAATGCGACAGGGTCAGGTGATCGGATGTGCCCCCTGCAGTGCGGCTGGACGCTAACAGTCTCGAAGCTAACTTCACATGGCTGTAGCTTGGATATTAAGAGCCTAAGCTCCGACACTTTGCCATGTAAGTCCCCTTGCCAGGCAAGCCAGGGTAGCTTAGCCAAGGACTTGAGGAGACTCTACTCGTAATAATCACCAGTCTCGTGCCCTAGTGACACTGGTTTCCCCTGTTCCAGGGCATGTTCCAGGGCCTGTTCCAGGGTTCCGCGACAACTGAGTCATGAACGATTACAGGGCGGATGGGACACGCAGACATGATCCGACCCGATAAGCACGGTGCTTGCTCCCTCCAAGGATCAGGCTGGGGAACTGTTTTCTACCGGCCGTACAGGGCTGCTTTCAGCTTGCAAACAGCAAGCCGCGACTCCACTTGCTCAATTCATGATGGCGGTCAGTCCGGTGGCAGTCCAACGGACACGGAGTCAAGAACAGGCGATTCGTGTACTCAAATCCAATGTACTCGTACGAAACAATTTGTCTCAAACAAGGCTCCTTTCTGGGCCTCATTGCGAGGATCGGTAAAGTACCTTAGGTGTTGTGCGTATGTGAGGTGGACAAGGTGAGTTGTCTCTTAAGCGGAGAGAGTGTGCAACGTTTCTCTTTTCTTATTCTTTGCCAGCTTGAGATCGGTCAAATTTGACAGCTCGGAAGGCAGTGAGATCACCAAGACAGCGAGATCACCGTTTCAGTGGCGCACGCCAACTGCCCTGCAAGGTGGTGGGTGGCATCATTCAAATGCCGAAGCCACATCATCGTTGAGTACCTCGAATTTGGTCCCTGGACACCACGTTGACGGCCTGCAATCCGATGTCCAAACACATCTCTTGCCTCATTACGGATAGTTCTAACGGTCATCGACCGAGATTCTTGTCTCTTCCACGGCTAGTCTACGAGAGAGAACATTTCGAAACAATCTAGTGAGAAGTCCGGCGTGCATGCCAAGAGCAATTTGGCAACGCCATCGAACTAGCGCCATTGAATTTCGTTAAACGTCGCCGTCTTCAGCTTAGCGCAGGAGTCCACAACGTGGGCTATGGGAAAATTGGCTGAGAAGTTCGCAATGGAGTCTTGGGAGTTTCTGGGGACAGGACATGTAACCCATCGCAACAAATTTAAGAGATACAAAAGCAATGAGCAACTCCACAACAGAGATTCTAGCTTACAGCATCGTGCCAATGCAGAAGCCTAGCCTCTCGCCTCTCAAAGCAGGGACACGCGAATGAAAGCTAGCGCGTCGTGGAACTCATCTTGCCATCTCGGTCATCATGCCGGTGGCTCCAGAAAGTATTCCAACCCTGACTATTGTTGAAAATGCACCAATCAGGAGTAATTACAAGCTTCAACTAAGGTTTGGCCTAGCGGCTTAGCACCAGTTCGCCAAGCTCTAGCTTAGCCAGACCTCGTGGCAGCCCCCTCCTCTTCTCGCCCATTGCGCCCCTGTCTTGGCTTTTCTCCTGGAGGGCTCGTACTGAGTCAAATGATTCGGTGCAACAAGACACACATCTTTGCTAGATTCTCTGAACTTACGCTGGGAGCGTGGTGTCATTGAGCCATAGTCATCGGTGACTCTGCTTCTTGGTACGGATGTCGTGGAAAGTCTAGAGTTATTGGCAGTCGATCGTAACTTACCGCTGATGGAACGTCGCCCATGACACTTCTTTCCCCAGATGGGCGGGCGGACAAATCGCCCCTCATTTCGCTCGCCTCCAGATTGTTAAATCACGATAGAAGAGGAGCCCGAAATCCCGGTCATGTTTCCCTTTATAGGAGGTGGAGCTCCGGTCATCACTCTAGTTCCAATCTTTCTCGATTTGTCCGTTCGTACGGAAGTGTTCTCTACCGACGAGAACCCCATCCCCTAGTCATTTAAATGCAGAATAACCGAGCCTCACGAGTGCTAGTTGATCCCATGCAAGCTAAGGAATGTGCCAGGGACAGGGCCTCCATGAGGTTCAGCTTGACTCCGCAGCGTGGTCTGGCGCAGCTAAGAGACCAAGGCCATTTATGAACTGGCTTGCAGCCACTTTCACAATGCCTTTTGAACGAAACCGTTGACCTCTGCGTCAGCGGCATACTCGCCAACAACGGATCGACTACGGAGAGTGCGTTGCGCCAAAAGCTTGGATGATAGCTCGGTAAAGACAAGTCGTCCAACGGCGACCCGAAGCATCCATCCCGTTCCATCCTCGAACGCCACCCGGTGCTCCGTCGCCGTAGACCGCCCGCCCGCCCGCCATGGAACTCGACGCAAACAGCCAAACGCTGACGCCGCTTCCCGAAGTCCTCCAACGGGGTCTCGCTGCCGTTTCCTTCTTCGGCTTCCTCTCGTTCATTACAACAACAGCACTCTTTTCGGTCTTGACTTATCGGCTAATAAAATGGTATCTTGCACCGGGGCCGGACCGGCCTCACCGCATGGCGGACGAGCCGAATGCGGACGCCGTCCTCGCCGAAGAAATGGGTCTTCCGGAAACGATGTACCCTAGGGGTAACAAGAAGAACAAAGCCAGGAGGGACGCCCCCAATCAGTTCCTTGTGCTCATCTACAACCTACTACTTGCCGATATCCAACAAGCCCTTGCTTTCTTGCTCAACGCGGCATGGCTCAACAAGAATGGCATCATCATCGAGAGTACGACTTGCTGGGCGCAGGGCTGGTTCATCTCAACAGGCGATTTGGCTTCTAGCGCGTTCATCAGCACCATTGCCATTCACACCTATCTCTCCGTCGTCAGAGATTATAAGCTTCCCAACTGGGCATTCTGGTGCATGATCGGCTCTGTCTGGTTCTTCATCTACGCCCTAGCCATTGTCGGCGTCATCATCACCCATAACGGAGCCGGTCACGGCGGCCTCTACGTCCGCGCCGCTGCATGGGTACGCCTCACGAAGCACCATCTTTATCCCAAATAGAACTAACGTGTTTCTAGTGCTGGGTCAACGTCCGTTACGAGGCGATGCGTCTCTACCTCCACTACATGTGGATGTTTGTTTCCTTCTTCATCACAGCGATTCTCTACATCCTCATCTTCAACCACATCCGCCGCACTGACCCATCCCTCCAACTCCCATCCTCCTCAAATAACACTACATCTTCTGCCTCTCAGAGCAACCGCGGTCGTAGACTTAGCCACGCGCACACAACGTCTCAATCTGGGCCCCCAAAGAGTTCCCATGGCGAAGCCCCGGCGTCCAACCCGAGCAACGCCGGACACCACCCTGCTTTCCTCATCTATCCCATAATCTACATTCTTTGCACGGCCCCCCTGGCATTGGGTCGTGTCATCACAATGGCTGGGAAACCCGTCTCTTTGGAATACTTCTGCCTTGCTGGTGCAATGATTGCATCCAATGGCTGGCTCGATGTTCTTCTATTCTCCACGACTCGTCATGTCATTATCTTTGACGCCTCCCCAGACTTTGAGGAGACGGGTATCGAGACTTTCGCCTTTATGCGCACACCCACCAACCGTCGCTACGGCAATATGGTGTGGGTTCAGGGCGCCGGAAGTGCGCCTAATAATCTTTCCGCGGACGAGGGAACCGGTGGTTGGCTCTGGAAGCTCTTCCGCCGGGGGCGTGGCGTGGGTGACGCGAAGAAAGACGGACGCCGCAGCGGTGCCCAGCGGAGCATCAGCCAGGAGTCTCTCAGGAGGCGGGCCGAACAGATGGAAGGCATTCAGATGGAAACAGTGACTACTGTCGTTGTAGAGATGGAAGGTCACTCTGCAGGTAAGAAGGTCAATAGAAGGCCGGCTTCTGTCGATACGTTTGAGAAGGAGCGGTCACAGAGTGTGGGTAGCATGTGATTCACCTGGTCTAGACCACAGATTCAGTTGTTGACGGCCTGGTTCGAGGGACTTTGGCAGACATCAGAACCTGGTCAACTTGCTGATCTCGGGTATGAAGACTTTAGTGTCTTCATTCCAGTTTCACATCGTATATGTTTATTGGGGAGGTAACGTCCTGATGTGATTAGTTGATGATAGCGATTTGGACTTGAGCGGTTATCTGTATTAGTTATACCCATAATGTCACACGTACTTAGCTTTCATCCATGCACTGCTTCTTATCAAGACTGACAATCTGCGAAGGATATCTGCTCTCATTTCCACAAGTGCATAAAGGCTGTAACCAGTTTCTCTCCATTGCCACAAAATGCCGAATGAGGTTTTAAAGTGACCATGGTGACCGATGTGTGCGAGATGGAGCTGCGAAAACCTTTTCTTAGAAGATGGGTACTTTGTAACACTTTTCTTAATATGACGCAGTAGAATAGGGTACAAGGCCAACCAAATCATGATTATCTCTACTCACCTGGTCGAGTAAATGTGTATTTTAGTAACGTTGAATAAATGCCCAAGTCCCCAAACCATCTGCGTTCAATCTCCGTAAGGTAAACTCTCTTCCACTTATGGGCTGTATATGGATGATATGGCGAACCGTGGGGCGAAATCAGTGCTCAGTACGTATGCACCAGCCACTAAGCATGCCATTCTGTGTATTCATCCAACTTTTAGGGCTCACGTCACATTCCTTAGGTACTTCCAGCGTGCTGCTTCGCTCGTTCAGCCGCTACAGAATCTCGTGCCACCTTTGCTCAAGGTCAACCGGCGCGTCCTGACGCGTTGCACACATCAGTATCAATAAACGCCTGCTGAACCTGACGGCCGCTTCTTGTCCATTCTTCTTTGCAAGCTTATTCCTTGCCCCTGTGCTTTCGCTGCCAAACGCAGCATTCATTTCACGCATTGGCGCACAACACTTGCGTCTGCGCGCATGAAGTTTGTGCTGTAGTCGCTGGCCCTCATCGGGTCATCGCGCCCCAGTGTCGGCACAGCGCTGGATCCACTATAGTTAACACGCGTCTAGAGCTTCTCCTGGTGAGTGAAGCTGAGATAGACTTTTGCTTCCCCCGAATTAGAGTCTAAGGCGCGTACTGACTGCAGAAACGCGTCAAATACAGCGCCGCCCTGGTAGACGCCAGACATCCACGGTCCGAATAGCCACTGCTATTACCGACTTTTAGTCTTTGACGAGTCATGCGGGCTACTACATGAAAGGCGGTATACAAACGCGACCTAGGGGCCCATCACCGAGATCATCAGTTACTGAAGACAAATTCGACTGATACCCACGCCTCCTTCACTCAGGCTGTGCCGATAACGTCGACAATGGCTACCCCTATGCCTCGCGGATATCGCTCCATCAGCGAATACCGTTTCCGCGAGGATCAGGCCGATGCAATTATTCGAGCCGCTACTTACCATCGTAGAGACCATGGCCTCTCGGTTATATGGTTCTCATCTCGCGAACACGTTGGTATTCGTCTATCGATAGCAACACCCTTCCAGCGGGCTTCTAGTACGGGACTCGGCTCCCTCGATCGCATACCCCTCGAGCTCTTGCATGACGTGTTGTTAGACCTAGACATGCACTCTCTGTTCAAATTGCGACAAACAAATCTCAGATCGAGACAGATGGTGGACTCTGTGAAACAATACCAGATGGTAGCCTCTCATGGACTCAACCTTTTTTGCGCCTTGCTACGGACCGGACTTGCCATCGGCATTTCTCTATTCGACTTCTATGACGCACTATGCACCAAGGCTTGTACTCTCTGCGGCAACTTCAGCGGCTTCGTATCCCTCCTGACCTGGAATCGATGCTGTTTTGTATGCCTTCAACGGGCTCCGGAGACTCAAGTGCAAACTATTGCCGCTATGCGGAAGCAACTCCGCTTGACCAAGGCCGAGTTAGCCCGACTGACGTCGTTTAAGACTTTGCCCGGAATATACTCGATGAAAGAGACCGTATACAAGTCCCGCCTCAAGGTCGTTTCTCTCCATCAAGCCATATTGATTTCCGGCCAGCAACCGCACGCACTAGCGCAGGCACAGCCAGTGAACTCGGAGCAAACTCAGAAATTCAACTTCATGGGCGCCTGTGCTCTTCCTTACCATGAAAAACAAAGCGGCAGAGTCGAACACGGAGTATCGTGTGCTGGGTGCCAGCTTGCTCTCGAAAAAAACATTATTGGCTCCAGTGGTGAGGAGTGGGCAATTGAGGCCCGCGACATGGCATATGCGCAAGATGGCTTCTTGGACCATTTTCGATGGTGTGAGCAGGCGCAGCTGCTGTGGAAATCGAGTGGCGAAGGTAACAAGCAGCCGCCCGAGCTACCGGAGGCTGCTCGGACAGGAGGCTACTTCAATCGTAGAGACTGACAAGCATGTTGAAACTGTTCGTCACTGTACTGCGACTAGGCTGCTTACAATATGCTCAAATAGAAAGTATGCAGAAAGCAGACATCTTCCTAGATTATCCAACATGCAGATCAGCATCTCAATGTACCTCCCCAGTTCTCAAACTGTGCTTTACTCTTCCAAAGCTTGTCCATTTTGGTCCGTGTATTTAACTGATGCATCTGGCTTCACCAGGTGCCTCGAACAATAGTTGGTTGAATCCTTGCCCCATTCTTTTCTGATTCGGCTGCATTTGGTAATGGTTCCCCGGCGCTCCTGGCACTGGACGAACTCCATCTCCCCCTTGCAGCCGCATGTATAATTGATGTACTTGGAGGAACACATTTCTCAACTAGCAGGGCGTCATGAGTAAGATTGGGCTCGGATGAAGGGATCATCACCTCCTTACGATGTTGGATCGTCGAATGACTTGTACAGGTTTGCCGTTGATAAATACAAACCACGAACGCAAAGGCGAGTTGCACTAGCACTGTCAAGAAGCGTGGGTGGTGTTGTTGAGTAGGACGGTTCTGAGCCATTGATTATTGCTAATGCAATGAGAGGCGGGAATAAATCGTTTATTCTGGTGCTGTCACTGTACTATATTTTGCAGGATAGCATGGTCTGAAGGGGACCTTGTGGTCGAGACGCGCGCTTGGAACAAGTTCGTAACCGGCCAAATCGCATCAAATACTCTAACCGCCGCTGGGTAAGCGCTGGGCCAGGCCTAAAGGAGTTCTCGCAATCCCTGTGAATTGGTTGACCGAAATGCTAACGAGACAAAGGAGTGGGGAGGCACAAGGGTCTTCAATTTTCCAAACCACTCAACTCGTAGTTCAGGTAGCAATCTGGACTCTTTGCGCAGCTGGAGAGCTACCCTACCAGTTAAGCATCTCCCCAGCCCTCTCAGCAAAAAAGAAATAGGAAAGAAGCGAGGCATGGCACCGGCGAAGGAAGTCTCAAACCATACAAGTGCAGATACTATATCTCTTCTGACTTATACTTTTACTCAGCTACATCCGCTAACAGTCTAAGTGAGTGGTCCAATGGTGACGATGCCTGGCCATCACGCTACAGAACCCTCGACACAGCCGATCATCCTGTCCATGGAAGTGGATGATGACGATTCTTTTGAAAGCGAATATCGATTGCGAATCGGGAACCAAGTAAAATATCTCGTCATCTCCCCCGGAACCTTTGACAGAGACACACTTTCATTCCCCCTTCAGTCCCTGCCCCGCCTTCCTTACCATGAGGAATGGGCTGTGGCCAACATTTCTCGGGACAAGATTAGCGGCGACTTAAAAACCACCCTTTCGAGCCGACCACTAGCCGGCGTCAAGTGTCAATGGCATCATGCCAAAGTTGATTTTCTAGAATTGGAGAAGACCAGACAGCTCACGGCAACGGCTTTTGAAGAAGCCCTCTCACCTTCGACTTTCCGCCTCGTTGTTGCATCACCAGCCACCGTGATCGCCAAAATAGCCCGTTTTGAATGGGAGCTGCCTCGTATCGAACAAGAGACGAGGGCATATCAATTACTGGAGGGTTCCGGATTGGCCCCGCGCTTCCTCGCCCATATCCACGAGAATGGACGCATCATGGGTTTTCTATTGGAGAAATTAGATGGTCGCTCTGCTTCTCTTCGGGATCTGAACGTCTGCGAAGCTGCTCTGAGGAAACTCCACGAACTAGGGCTTGAACACGGGGATGTGAACCGATACAACTTCCTCGTTACGGGAGAAGGTGTGCAACTACTCGATTTTGAACGTCTTCGGGAGAATGTTAGCCCCGAGTCAATGAACAAGGAGTTGGAAATGTTGCGTAAGGAATTGGTCGACGAGTCAGGTCGCGGCGGAGGTTTCATGTTCCATGGCGATGATAACTGATATTGAATCTTGAGATGAATTGGATAGTTTATAGATGACGTATTATGTGTATGCTTGACGAGACAAGCGCCAAAATGTAGCTGAAAAGTCTCGAGTGTTTAAGCGGTATTCGCCCTCCCGTCACCGGGGCGTAATATATTACACACCTGGTATCGTTTGAATCTTCTAGGGCTGTAGGTCTTCACAAAAGTGCTGCCTTAAGATGCAATGAATACATTCAAGGCACAATTTATCAGCGTATTTCATTAATGCTTGACATTCATAGTAGAAGCTGGTGGATGCCGACATTTAGATTATTATCAGAAAAAGGGGCAGAGATCACTGAGACAAATATGGTTGTCTTTTATTCAATCTGAAAGCCAGAAGTGGTGATCTTTAGCGCTAATAAAGGGATGGGACCGATCTAGTGAAAGTTGAGGACTCCTCCCTTCTGACAGAATAGAGGTGTTTATGCTACATAAAGTGCTTCGTAATGACAAAATGTATGATACCAACATGAAATCACAAGAAAGTGAGGCCCAGTATCAACAAAGCTTTTGTATTCATATTCATATCGACCAGCATTCGCATCTATGCCGTGTCTATAAAGTTCAACCCAATCCATCGATGGCGTAGTATCATATATTCGTCTCAACTCCTTCCCGTTCTCAAACGACCAATCGTTCTAGCGATGTCCAGATTAGGGATTATCCAAAATTATTACACGAAGATTACGTTCAAACCCTATGACGGGATTGTGTGACTGGAATTTGCAACTTTTAAATCATCAACACCATTGCAACAGCACCGGCGAGAGCGCCACCGACAGAGAAGACAGCGCGACCAGCGGCGTTGACATCGACGACGGTATTGGTGCTGGTAGGTCTCACAGAAGTGGTGGTGCTGGTAGGCGGCACCGGGATACCAATGTTGGCACCGCCGTCAACAGTCTTGGAGGCAGTATTAGAAGGCCTAACGGCGGTGGCGGTCGCGGTGGCGGTGGGCGTGGCAGTCTCGCTCTCGGGCTCCTTAGTCTCAGACGCGCTATTGACGGTCTCGGACTCGGAGCTCGCCGCGGAGGTCTTAGTCTCCGCCGCCGACGTTGTGCTAGAGATGGATGTCGATGTCGTCGTGGGAACGATGACTTCCTTGCTGCTGGTCGTCGTGGGCTTGGGCTCCTCCTTCACTCCGCTCCACGGCTCGCCGGTCTTTGGGTCGCGGTACCAGTTCGAGGCCGGGTCGCCGAGGCACTCGCCAATGGTGGTGAACTCGAAGCCCTTCTCCTTTGCCACATCAATCATGTACTGCACGAAGCCATTGACGGTGAAAACGTGGATGTCGTGGGCCAAGCTGATGAAAGAGGAGCTGGCGGGGGTGGCTGAATTGAGAGCGCCGGAGAAAATAGCCTTTGAGTTGACGCCATTGTCTACCCAGTCCTTGGTGTCGAGGTTATAATCGGTCTACGTAAGAGTGTCAATTTGTGGAGTCAATGGGGGTATTTCACCGCAACTTACAACATGGTATGCCAGGTCGTTGAGCGTGGATATACACTCACTATCACAGTGAGTGTAAGGCGGGCGGAAGTAGGTGGGAATGAGACCGAGGGTCTCGGCAAAGACTTCCTCGTTCCGGAGGACCTCCTGGATCTTTTCGTCTTTGGAGATAGTGGTGAAGTCCTTATGGCTCCAGGAGTGGCTACCAAGCTGGTGGCCGGCGCTCAACATGCGCTTCAGATCGGAGGTGTAGGTTCCACTGGCGATGCCGCTGTCGCCGTTGGTGCCAACGAGGAAAAAGGTGGCCTTGATGTTGCCGTTCTTCTCCAACGTGTCTAGGACCTCACTGGTGTATTCTCCGGGGCCATCGTCGAAGCTGAGAGCGAGCTTGCCGTTGACGGTGCAGTGAGTGATGTCGACGCCGTACGGGACGCTTCCGAAGCGTGGGCGGGGCAGGTCTCGGGTGGTAAGAGCGGCCGGCGATGACTCGAGTGGAATAGCCGTCGCTAGGTCGCCGGAGGCGACAATGGCTGCGAGGAGGGAAAGAGAGTGTGCCCTGGCAAGCATCTTGACGGTTTTTTTGGTGTGGTTGATAGCGAGTGACTGTAAGCCGGACGACCAGACAGCCTATCGTACGTACGACTTAAAACTGCGTGGGAGGTGTTACACTTATATCAAAACTACGGTATGCTAAAAGAAGAAAACCTCGCGGGCCGCAGGGACTTTTCATGTACGAGAGGCATCGGGGATTAAAGGAAATGAGAGTGGTGGGCTAACCCGTCCAGCGTCGCGTGGAGAAGGCTGGGCGAGAGGTCATCCCAAGCGGCGGCGTCCTGTCCGTGTGCAGCGCCTCACGGCCGCAGCCGGCTTCTCGGGCGAGATGGAGTAGGCAGGACATGGTGGCTGCTAAGCTCGCACCTAGCAAGACTATGAGGAGCAAGGGGAATATCCGTACGGACGGCGGTCTGTCTTGCGAGCTGCGACTTGCAAAGTTGGTTGCCTATTCGCGAAGTAGAGGGAGGCTACGGGCTGCGGCTTGATGTCGCAAGAGAGGCGGCGTGTACCAAAAGAGGCCCAAGTGTCGATGCGCTGCGCCAAGACCACGTCTCACGGGTAAGGTAGGGCAGAGCCATTTTGCGGGGATGCTGTTGGTAGACAAACGCGAACGACCGGCGGTTGTCGGTGTGATCTTCACAAAGGACTTAGACGAAGAAGAAACTAGAACAAAGAAGATCGTCTTGGAACTCGTGGTCAGAGCATTTGGATCCTGAGACTTGACCTCGATTTTCAAACACGTTTGCGAGATCGCCCCCTGACTCGAGCTGGGCATGAACTGGCAAACGGGCCAGAATACGAGCATTGGCAAATCCCAACTGGCTGGATGTCAAGATTACAGTCCCCCGCGGTGTAGACCTGGATCACTTGGCAGCAGATCCTCGGGTTCCTTTTTTTAAACATACAAACTTGTACGTTTTAGGATCGCCGTAGGCAGACAGTTTGGGGGCTTGGAGAGAGGAGGGACTTTGGCGGCCGGCAGCAACAAATGACTTCTCTGTTCTCTCCTGTGCGTTGGGAGGCGGCGGGTGAGGCGCGGGTCCCCGACCCAACAATTGACCTCACTTCGCCGGATATGATGTGCTTCGGATACGCAGCGCCCAATCCGGTTACGGGGGGATCTAAGGATGACATCCGGCAATTTTCTTCTCGAGAGGGTGTGACGGGGCGCGGATCTTGGCGCATTAGGGTCGTATGAGAGAGGATTGGCGCAAGGAACGCGATCTTTGTGATTGGCCATCAACATCAGCCATCATTGTTGTCGTCCATCGTCGCATTGGGGTCCTGTTCCCTCCCGTCATCGAGACGTGATGCTGCGTTGCGTTGCATTGCGTTGAGGCATCAGAACATGCCCCGAGGAGGAGCTTTCTGTTCCCTGAGAACATCACGTTGCGATGTGCCCGCTGCTCCCATGTTTGGACGAGAACAATAAGGGGGCAAGGGAGGTGATCCGAGTGACTTTGATTTTGGATCAAGGAAAAGCTTAGAGGAGCACGGGGCGGCGACGGCGTGGCTGGTCTCAGTGTCGTCCGTTGCCCTTGATTGCGCCGTTGGTACTAGCTCCGGCTGGAGTTGAGACGAGCGATGGATTAGTGGCTTCTTCTATTGCTTCTTTTTTGTGGTTTGTTTTTGTCATGCTTGCTCAAGGGCCCCATTCCCCCCTGCCCCCGTCTCTTCTCCTCGTCCCTCATCTCCGCGGTGCCTCTTCCTCCAGCTGTGCTACAAGCCGTGAGAGTTCCCCGGGCTGGCCCCCGCGGTCCGCAATTTGCAGCGACCAGCCCTGGTTTCTTCGATTTTGTCGCTGTCCGGGTGTGGGGAAGATGAGCGGGCAGCGGATGACCTTGAACTGACAAGATTTTCTTTCAAGTCTTGTTCCACGTCGGGTTGATCAGGGGCCTTATCACTAAGGGGGAAAACTGCGATGACAACTGTTGCCTCTCTCTATCCTCGGTACAGCTAGCATGAACCACAACCAGCTTCTTCCCGACACCAGCCATCGACGCACGTGTTGTTCAGGTGCTAGGAACAAACTAGGGGCAGGGCCGACAGCACATGGACTTCGCACTGTCGCTCCGGCAAAAACCTGCCGTTGAAAACAGCGCGAATCGACAATGCGCCGCACTGCCTCGTGTTTACTTTCCAAAGCTCTGCGTTTCTCCGAGCGCATCTTCCCATCCGGGCCAAGGGTATCGGCCTATTGAGCACTTGGCAAGGACAGGGGATTGAGCTGACTGCAGGAATAAGGCCTGCCGTGCCTCATAGCCTAGACTAGACCTCTCTCTCCCCGGGCAAAGTGTGAGGCCATTTCTCAGGAACATGGAACATTTCCAGCGCTACTGCCATTGCTTATTCTATTGTCTGATATCCCCATTTCCTAGACGACAGGCTCCGAGCACACTCTCTACTGCCATCAGTCGTTTGACGATCGCATTCACAGTGAATGGCCGTCAGGTTCAGACCAGTCCAGCCTTCGCACGCTGGACCTGCAGAACTTCAGAACTCTTAGCCGTATATTTCGGAGAACGTGTGATCTCTTGAAAATTTCGTAGGCAGCTGCAGGCCGTCTGCCCCTTGTTTCACATCACCAACGGACGCGCACCTCCACGCTCTCAAGGCCACACCTCCGTTCTCGCTGGGGCAATCCTCACAGGCTCGCCCATCACGCCACTAATCTTTCAGTTCTCGGCCCTGCATCTCAGTGCTGATCATAATTCCCGAACACTTCTCACGTCTTACAAAATGGACGATCAAGTGAAACCAATATCTACTGCGTCGGCGCCCACTCATCACAGTGCCGATGAGACAAAGAAGGGCAGAGTTTGAATAATGACTCCAGATGTTCCTTGTGCTCAACCGCTTACACGTTCAAATGCAGTGGGCCAACTTCCCGGGCACACAACGCTTGTTATAGGAATGAATTGATTGATCATCCTGCATGTATCTGCTACCCTACGCGGGACCGTCAAGTCCAACCAATCTGGCAGATTCCTATGAAACATGTGGATTTTCTGAGCCAATGTCGGCGAGATGTCGGAAACGCTCGCCAGAATTGCACATTAGGCTGCGCGTCTTCTCGGTAGTGAATTCTGCCGCCTCAGCGCGCATCAGTGGCGCAGTGAACTCATCTGCCAGTGTCTGTGGCAAGGACGAGAGATCACCATGGGCTAGGAGCGGAAGGGGAAGGACAGCGGAGCTGTCACCTCCTGCACCTCAATACAAGACATAATAAATAGGGTGCTTGCCAAGCTCTGCCAACTTTCAGCTTTCGTAGGCTGTGCGGCAGCAGGCCAATCCTTCTTCGAGGTCAGACGGATGCCTGTTCGAACTTGAATCCTTCTTGTCTATTCCTGGAGAGTTCCTGCTCAGGGCTGACGGGCTGCATTTGCCAGCCTGTGCAAGGCACTTCAGTTGATAGATTGGCATTTTGTGCACTGACCGGGAAAGAGGTTTGAACACTTTGTTGAGACGAAAGATGTAGACCATGGTTTTTGAAACTGCCACAATCCTTCCCCCCCTCTTAGCCTGAGTGGCTTTCATAGTTTGATCATGAAGTCGTTCGGAGTTACTCAATTTTATCTCTACGTCTCTTTCGAGGGGTTGTGAAAGTGAAAGTGGTGAGAAAGAAGATGCATCATAAAAAAGCATGTAGTTGTTGTGTACTTTGAGAAACCACTGAGCGCCGCATTCCAAGTGCGCGAGCATATCTCTCTCTACTTGTGGCAAGTCGGAAGTCGCTCAGCTAGTACTGAGAGAGGCTGTATGTTATTCAGGAGAGAGTGCCTGAATTCAACTTACCTCAAATGATGCCGAAACAGACAATTCATTAGGGATTAAACAAGGCTTTGAGGGATGCCACTAAGAACAGCTTCTCCGTACGTATGCCACAAATCATCGAACTCCAATGTATCGATGTCATGCAAATGTCATTCTACATCTTCTAAATGAAAGATTTATGTAGCGACGATACAATCTGGGGATTCCAGAAAAGGTCTGGATACTTGCTTCCCCAACCTTCAGCCCCCGCATTCATCTCGTCCTCAGGTACATGTATGTTCCCCATCACCGGTAAAGTATACCAGGTCTCGGATCCAAATACCCGTAAAATTCCTTCTATTTCAGGTCTGGGAGGTATAGTGCATATGTACCTTACAAAATCGTTTTCTTCTAAGATCTCCAGCATGCTGGCCTCGTAGTCCGCGATGAATGTCAACTGAGACAACCAGACTGATGATACTTTGTAGCGCCAAAAAACAATGTGTTTTTCAAAAAGGTCTACAGAGAGGGATAAAACGGCTCAGTTGAACCTTTGAATCGATGAAATCAAAGCTCGGCTCTGGAGAAAGGTCAAGTTATCAACGAGAAGACTTGTTTCTATAAACTTTTCAAGATTTCGGTTTGGATTGCCGCTCTAGTACTATCATATTAACTCACCTAAGCTGGCTACATGAAGTATCATATTAGCAGATTCATGTATTGACTCATCGATTGGCGGTCTCCACATGTAACTACGGCATTTTCTTCTCTGCATGCCAGCTACCACAGAAAGGTAACCTTCAAGTTCGTAAGTTGGAACCCATGCAAAGTCTTGCGAATGAGCCTTGTGAACCTCTCATCTCATGTAACCCAGCATCTTGAAACTGGCATGCTTAAAGTATCTTTAAGCAGGCAATAAATTGAGGAAGCCTTGAGGTTTGGTTATTAGTACTGATTAACCTCAAGTATGGAAAATCCGACCAAGCTAGTCCCGTAGCTCCTCTGGACGCCAGTCAGACCGAGCAAGCAGAAACCACGCATCCAATCGGCATTGACACCAGTGCTGCCCGCCGCGTCCCAGCCGGAGCCTCTGTCCCCCAGATAGCCACCATGGACATCGCGGAGCTGAACAACAACGTCACCGAGAAATTTCCCTTTACCCTCTCGGACGCCGCCCTCGAGGAAGTCGCCAAGCGCTTCATCGTTGGTGTAGATAAGCGCCACCTCTGGTCTGATCCCAACTACCAGACCCCTTTCACTCTGTCGGGATGCTCCAGTGGCCCAATGGCGTCCTCTGTTCCGCCGCCTTGGTCGGCCCGCGTCACATTCTCTCCGCCAAGCATTGGAACCTCGATCACCCTATCCTCGGGCCCTTCTACCCTGGCTACGACAACGTTGCGCGCTTCGGTCCCGCCCAGATCACCAACGGCCTCTTCACCTACGCCCAAGAACCCAATTCATCCTGTGCGACCGAGGGCGACTGGATAGTATATGCCCTCGACCAGCGTCTCGGTGACCGGCTTTGCTGCATCAGGGCCAAGTTAACGGACCGCAACATTTTTGGCAAGCCTCAGTTCTGTGGTGGCAACTGCCCGTGCTGCTAGACCGATGATACAGTCCGCTCGAAGAGAACGTGACTCGACTGGTCCCTTCTATACCAATACTGATGCCATGGGCGGCTAGTCCGGCGGCCCTCACTGGGAGCTCGATGGCAAGGGTAACCGCTGGATCTGGGGTGCTCTCTCCATCACTGTTACTAGCTCTGCTGAGACTTACGCCGGCTGGGCGTCTGTCAATTCTTTGTCTGGTGGCATTAACAACATACCTGCCGACTTCCCTTCAGGGGGTGGGGTTGTAGCTGCACGAGAAAGCAGCTATGTGTGACCAGCTGATTTCCGATGTCCGTCTCTCCGAAAACACAGAATTTTCAAACTTTCCGAATGTTTCATAGTCCCTAAATCCTAAACCAGACACGAATCTTTCAAATTTCCACAAACTCCAAACAGAGTGGTTTGCCTACTTTACTAATGACTGGTCAAGGTGCCTCTATCTGCTGAACCGAAATGCGTCTGCACGAGCACTGTCCTCAAAGCTCAGTTCGTATGGAAGAACCATCTGGTAACAGGACGCGATCACAGTTGTTGGATGTTGTTGATCGGCTGTAGTCCGCATGGATCCGAGACTTATCTAATCAGACTCATCATTAACTTCGGTGAGTAGAGGGCTTTGTGAAGGGCTAGCCCACGTATGTGGGCAACGTCGGCAACCTGCACACCTAATCAACTGTGCTATTCGCTCAACCTTAGCTTGTTAGCCAGAAGGTACATGAATAAATTCGCGACTTTTAGCCTGATCGCACTTAAGTAGTACGGACCCAGGAGGCGGCTATCCAGCCCGCAACTCTTTGATTAATCTAAAATGCATCTTATGATCGACTGGGATATAATCATTATCTCACATTATCCAAAACATTAGTCCATCTCATGTGATAGAACTGAATACAAAGCAGAATGTTGCTGATAAGCCATAACATCATCGAGACTGCTGTGAGTATGGCAGGTTGAAGGACCGTTTTACGGACATATGACTGGTGCAAGCATTCCGTTCCATGTGTTTCAACAATAAACTTCTGCAATCCTCGTCAGTCATGGTGATTGATGCACCTATTTGATTAGAAAATGGAAGGGCCGCCTGATGAGATAGTCTTGAGTTTGCTTGCTAGTTGCCATTTCCTTCGCCGACGTTGCCTAGGCATATGAACTGCATCATTTCAGCTAGAAGAACAGCAGATCTTCAGGGAAGTAGAAAAGAGCTCATATGATGTGCGCATGCCAGGGAAATGGCTAAAATAACCGAAGTGTGCAGTCTGCGCATAACAAGGCTCTGAACATTTGGGTTTGGGATCAGAGACTCTTCAAGCAATTGCCACTCACCAACACCGCCAAGATGATCCACCATAGATCCATATGTGTTCATTCAGTTGCCTAATGATGTCGCAGGGCTCTCCAAATACTTGGCGAGATTGAGTCTGGGATGGCGCATCTGATGTACCAAGGGACGAAGCCCGTCTGCACAAAGCGAAAGATGCATGAAGCTTTTCAACGAGAGTATCCACCAATAGTGTGTGTATTATGACTATATGGGATGGGATGATGGTGATGAGACTAATTATCTTATGGGATATCTCATGAAAGCATTCCGGATGAACGAGTGGTTTCCGTCGTCCCACGCCGTTGATAGGCTCATTGTAAACTGACCCGGTCCTCTTGAACCTCCCCTTCGTCGATCCCTCCCGCCTTTCTTTGAATTTGTTTGACGTTTCTCATCATACTCAGTCGTTCTCGCAACTATCACAACCTCCCTATTGAAGCGACTCGGAGTCATCAACCTCCTTCCGCTCCTTCTGCGGCGGTGGGTGCTTTGGATCAGACCCAGCATCCGTTCCCCATCCGCCAAGGCCACCCGCCGTCGCGGCTCCACCAAAGCCGGAGGCGGGTCCCGCGGCGAGCGTCCCTGCAGCCCGGTTCCCTGCGACGCCAGGCCGGTCTCTGGCCCAGTCGTTGATCTCGTCCTTGGTCTTGCCAGTGTACTTGAGGAGGTCGTCGTCTGAAATTTGGGTGTCGCGGCCAGTCTTCTTGTCATGGTATCGCTGGTAGAGAGACTTTTTGGGCTCGTCGGAGCCGCCCCCCTCTGTCGGTGTTGATTTTCCAAAGAGCCCCATGTCGACTAGAGTTGTGATAATGGTGGGGTTGTCCGAAGTTTTAGGATGATTGGGTTTGCTAACTTTGTCTGATGTATACAGGCGAGAATCGAATGCTCGCTGAAAGTGTGTGTGGCTGACGTAGCTTATTGGTCCTGTTGAGGACAGACGACACAATGCGAGCTTGAATCCGCGGGGAATATATAGGGTAGGTATTTGAATCACGGGCTAATGATTGTGGTACTTGTGCTGCTGTTGGTTGACATGGCGTTGGTCACGCCCTTTACGGATCTAGCGATGATCCCCTACTCGCCACTAGGATAGCAGTGGGTATTCAGCCCAGTCACTCCACTAGTCAAGTCTTGTTTAGGCTGTTCGCGAATCGGGGCTGTTCTCTGCTAAGCCACTACGCCCAACAGCATTCCCAACAGGGTCAGCTGACGTCAAACTCTCGCCCGGTTCGTTAGGTACGGGTGGAACGGCAAGGACTCTTCCATGGTCACCATGAGACCATGTGACAAGCTTTGCAGGTGAAGCTAACCTTACGTAGGCTTCACGATGTCTTCATTATGCTGTCGGAATCATTGACTGCATAGGGAATCCCTCATCAGTGATTCTGATTAGTAAACTCTTGGTCAATTAACATCGCTTGGCATATGTCCAGCAAACTTAAATCCTTGCATGGTTACTAGAGATTAGTGTTCAAGAACAGAATGCGATGCCATGCTTCCGCCTCGTGACGGGCCACGCGCAACAGTGAGGCTGACCGCTGCGGACTATAAGTCAATTCTCGACACCCATCACGTTTCTCGGTATCAAATACGGGCCGTTTGTTGTCGTTGATTTGCTCAGCCTGGTGGGGGAAAAAAGCTTCCGCTTCAGGGGTAAATCTTAAAGGTTGGGGGTTCCCGGGTTTCTGACCGTGGGGACGTGGATGCCTGGCTATGTCAGCTTTGCGACCTGCACGAAGCAGTTTTTCATATGGTAGATATTCTGTGTCATATTATTGTCGTAAGCCGGTTGCATCTCTGTAGAAACGACTAGGACAATCCAAGACGGTTGTGCTGGTAAGTCGAGTTCATCTGGTAATGCCATCATGGCCAGATCTTGAGATCATTATAGTCATGATTACAGTGAAGCCATGTTCGTCTCTATTGACCCGAAAAGCTCAAACTGGTCTGTGACAGACCTTCACATTTGTACGCACTATTGATCAGAGTCGTTCATTGATCACAAAGCAACCACACGATTAAAATTCTCCACTCACTTGCAGTTATTATTCACTGTTCTATCTGCCCCTCTCACCGTACCGTACTGAAAGTTACAGTCTATTCCGTGCTCATTATTCGCGACCCACGTCTAATGACTTCAAACCTGCCTCAACAAGCCAACATGAACATCGCGCCGACTAGAACAGATGTGTCAAGTCTTCTCAGCAGTTATATGGAACGTTATCCCCCCATTACCACTGAATAATACCTTCTGCTTCAGCTCGACGACTACAGTTTTGCTGCGCAGAAAAGGCTCCATGGCGCTTTTCAGTGCCGGCGGGAGAGGCTACGCTCAAACTATGATTTGCTAGCCAATGTTCCAATTTCAAAGCCCTTGATTCATATCCCGATGTGAAGGCTGGGCCCCACAAGACTGCCCTCCATCCCGCATTCTTGGCGGCCGACGGGATTTGAGGATAAGCTATGGCCAAGCTGCGTCAAGTCTGCACGACCAACGGGGCTTGAGGCTGAAGTGCTAGCGCTGTAGGAGTCTATTCATGTCTAGCCTCTGGACAATTGGCCTTCTCCCATGTGCATAACGGCCCTAGGGAAGTTGTCTACGCATGGGTGCCTTGCTAGATCTTGAGCTGTAATGCAGCTAACTGAAGATTTGACCAAGAAAGTCGACATTGTGAGGGTTGAGGAGAACCTGCAGGAAGTAAGTCAAGCACGTCCATTGCTTGGCGGCTTCTGTGGTTTTAAGAGTGAAGTACTAGTAGCTGATTCATCTGATGAGGGCGCACGAGTGCATGTATGTATGTATGTGTGCCAAGTGATGCGGAAGAAACCGGCTGTCTTTCATTCCCTCAAGCCCTTGACTACGGCTGCTTGCGATCACCATCGAATCTGTAGCGATCGCGCTTGGTCGGCAAAGTGGGATGGAACTCTGAATGTTTCGTCGCAACCGTCACTAATCTAGACCGTTCTTGCCAATGAACCAGTCCAACGACAGGATCTAGCCATCGCATACCGGCAGAGATGGTAGGAAAAAAAGGGAAAAGTTGTATGGAAGGATATTGCTCTTGGGACGATCCCATCACCGGCACAACCACTTCGCGACTTGTCGCAGGTGGAGGGGCGCGGGAGAAGTAAGTGGATGGACATAGGAGTGGGCAAGGAACTGCATATGAGAGGTTTCACGGGGAAGAATGAGAAAAGGCCTGCCTCTAGTCACCCCCTTCGTCCCAAAAACCTTTTGGCATGGCAAGTCGTTTCGGTGGAAATGACTTGCATGCGACTTTGGGCCAAAGGGGGAAGGCCCATCCGCAGTGCCGCCGCATGGAAGTGGGAATACTAGAAGCTGAATGGTAAATAGCTGAGTCGTGCTGACAGCTGAGAGTGTGCGTCCGCAGTACATGAGGAGGTACGGTAGTCCGTCATGTTGGCCTGTGCTGTCTTGTAGATGCTCCCCCGCTCACATGCGCCGTAGATCTTACAATGATCGAATAATGGAAAACAAAAGTGCATGCCTTCAAAACGCCAAGGCTTTCCCCGCAACGGGAAAGCCCGTTGAGCTACAAGCAACGGGAAGAAGCAGGCAAGCGAAACAACGGTCAATTCTCCATGCCTAGTGTTGTTTCCGCGAATCCTCACCATCGCCGCGAGATGACAAACTGTTGGCCGTAAAGATGGGAGAAAAGTCCGCTGCAGCGGAACTACGGCATTCCGGATGAGGATAAGAGACGACGCAAAATAAAATAAAAAATAAAAAAAAAAGAGAGAAAGAGAAATGCGTAAAGCCGCCAGTTGGTGGGCGAGGAGAGCGAGGCGTGCCACAGCCGATTCCTGTCAGCTTGCAGGGAACGGGGAGTACGCGGGTTTGCGCAAAAAAGCTGGGGTCTACCCTGATCGGACGCAGAGCACATCTAATTGAAAGTCAAGCTTTCTCAAGGACAAGGCCGAATCGGCCCCTAGGCCGTGCCCCCACTAGGATTCGTTCTTCAGTCGCGACATGGCTGTGACAACTCAAATAGCCCGTTCGCTGAGCCAGTCAGCAGCCCGAGGTGGGCAAGAAGACAAGAAAGGGAAGACTTCCGTCTCCACATCGCCGTGCCCGAGTACGCCGGCAACAAGAAAATCAGGACGAAGGAGGTCAAAGAGCCGCTTCTCGTCTTGGCGCAAGGAAAGTATTCGTAGAGAGCACCGAGAAGAGGTGGAATGGTGCCGTCCTATGAGAAAGAAGCCTGTGGGCGTATTATTTAGCTCATTCAATGTTCCAACCCCGGCGCACGGAGATTCAACATCTCAAAGTAAGAGATGCCGGTCCGGGCTTCGTCCTCTTTGCTCAGCAGCAGCAGCGAACAGTGGATCTTGATCGGACGCGCGGGTGTCCGCTCCGTGATGCGATACAAGGCTTTTGAAACCAGGGCTTGATCAGTCATGGACATCCTAGCAGTCGCTTGTCAGTTCTTCCTCGCGGTTCATCGCTCTCCACGGGGAGCCTACATACTTGATGAAACGGTGCCTCTCGCCTGTGTGTTGAGGGAAGGATGGTCCGGCGTTTTCTTCGTATATGATTGTTAATAGTCATTCAATCTTATAAAGTCCAGCGTTTCGCTCGGTCAGATATATCGGACATGTGCTGGCTGTCCATGCCATGAAGGTGTCGCTGCCGCTCTGTCAACTGATATCCCCATCAGAACTTCGAACATGGCCGTAGTGCCCCCGCCAGGATGTGAGCATTGTTCAAGAAGCCAGATCAAAGAGCTGGGCTCTGTGGCCAGAGCTGCCAACCAGACGTACTTGACGAGGTCCGAGTTGGAAACGACGCTGTTGGTGCTCAATTTACGTGCCGACGATACCGCCCAGGCCGAGAATATCCAAAGGGTCCTCTGGACTCTAGTCGCTCTTTCAGCCGTGTTTCTTGGGTTGAGGATATACTGCAAGATATCCTACACGTACACAAAGATCCGATTTGAAGATATTCTCCTGTTCGCCTCCTGGGTAAGGCCTCTCTCTCTGAGGATAGCTTCGTGTTTTTTCTAGCGTTGACAGATCATACGCAGCTCGTCCTAGCAGCAGATGCCGCACTCAATGAGTTTGTCATCAAGTCCCGGTTCGGTCGACCAGACTTTCCCATCACTGTCGAAAACATCTCAGTATTAGCCATCGTCGGCCTATCTTCCATCACATGCTCCTTTGTTGGCCAAGTCTGGAGCAAGACTGCTTTTGCCATATCATTGTTACGAATGTGCGATGGCTGGAAGAGGGCTTTCGTATGGTTTTCCATCATTTCTATGAACGTACTCTTCACGTTTTCTTCATTGTCATTCTGGATTGGGTGTGTTCCTCTCGAAAAGAGATGGAAACCTTTTGCCGAGGGAACCTGCTACGACCTCAAGTGGGTCATCTCGTTCGGAATCTTCGTCAGTAGTAAGACAATATCCAACCCTGCACTTCTAAAGAGATGCTCATGTTATACCAGTATACTCCGGCCTTCTCGATATTGCCTTGTCCATTATTCCGTGGCTCATTCTTATGAAACCGAAACCAGCCGAGGAGTCATCGGGTCTTACTCTGAGCAAGAAGGAGAAGATTGGTGTTTCCGTGGCTTTGAGTATGGGAGTGTTGTAAGTTGCTCAAGCTCCTGATGAGCTGTCGGGAGTTTCTAACAGAAACCTAGGGCTGGAATGGCAGCGTTTGTCAAAGCTTCGTACATGCGTTCAGTAAATGATACCACTGGTGACTTCTCTCGTGAGTTGAAATTTACTACCTAATAGTAGGATATATCTAATAACGTTTATAGACGGAGGAGCAGAGTTGGCCGTTTGGGCCGGGGCGGAAACGGCCATTACCATCATGGCGGCGACAATTCCCGTATTGAGGGTTCTGTTGCGTGACACTGCGGTCAAGACCAAATATCTCCCTGAGGCTATCAAGATGAGGGTCCGAAGCACAGTCAGGAGATCAGAGAGAGCCTCAGGGAGACCTGTGGCGCAACCCGAAGAAGACAAGGTCCCTATTGTCTCATCGGGAGCTTCATTGTCAACTGCTGGAGCCTCATCTACCTCTACAGGCTCCACTGTGGATTCGCAGAAAACATTGGTATCCAAAACACCGGATAGCCGGAAGAAATGAGACGGATGAGCGGAAGCTTAGCTCGTTGCTGCGATTAATGATTTGATGATATAAGACAAACTCTATGAACACAAGATTCAGATGATATCAGGATAAAATTAATGAACAAAGAACATTCAATTCCAAATAGGCCGCATGGTTTTTGATCTTGACGTTGTGATCGCGACAACCTTAAGTTACTATTTGTCTACTCGTGCCCAATTGGCTTGCCCTGAGATTGCCACGCAATCGGGGCGGAAGCAGCTACTAATGGTGCTGTTGCACCACCCTCTCTGGGATCCTCGTGGATGAAATTCATTGGGAACCCGATATCAAACGCCTTGAAGCTTTCAATCTTCTTGATCTGCTCCCCAGTAAGGTGAATGCTCAGAGCCTTGATGTTATCCTCCAAGTGCTGCACCTTGCGGCCACCAACAATCGGGAAAACGTAGCGAGCTTTTTGCATGACATAAGCCAGTGCAATCTGTTGAACGCTCTCAATGCCATGCTCCTTGGCAACTTCCTCAAGGACCTCGCTGGCCTTGCGTTGCTCATCAGACTGGTCTCCTCCAAACATGGCCCGCAGGCCTTCTCCAGCCTTCTTGCGCTCCTCGAGCTGCTTCGTGGATTGCAGCTTACCGCCGCCAAGGACATCCCAGGGGCAGAGGGCCATGCCAAAGTGGCGAGCCATGGGGATGATGTCCCGCTCCATGTCGCGGATGAGAACGTTCCAGCGACCCTGGTAGACGGAGAACTGGGTCTTGCCATGCGCCTTGGCGTAGGTGTTCGCAGCGGAAACGACCCAAGCGGGTGTGTCAGAAACGCCGAGGTACAGGACCTTACCCTGCTCGACGAGGATATGGAGTGAGTCCATCAGCTCCTCGATGGAGGTCGTCCAGTCCCACCAGTGAATGTAGAGCAGGTCAATGTAGTCCGTCTGCAGCTTCCTGAGGGAATCCCGGACCGAGAGGTGCAGCGACTTCTTATGATTGCCAGAATAGTTGACACATTTGCCGGGTCCGAGCGCCTGCTTGCGGTACTGCGTGGTGAACTTGGTCGCGATGAACATGATGTCGCGGTTCTTCCTGGCGGTCATCCATTCTCCCAGAATCTCCTCAGACTCCTCGTTCTGGTAGTTGTTGGCGGTGTCGATGAAGTTGCCGCCGGCATCGACAAAGGCGTCGAGCAGCTTGAACGAGTCCTCCTTCTCCATTGAGCCCATGAAGGAGGACCACGCCGAGCCGATGGACATGGCGCCCAGGCACAGGGGGGAGACCCGGACGCCTGCGGTGGTGGATAGAACGCGGTACCGACCGAGCTCGGTCTTGGGCTCGGGAGCCGGCGCGAAGATAGTTTGATGGCCGGACATCGTGAGATGAGGTCAAACTGTGGTGTAAACTGCGGTGTAATTGGTGGAAGGTTTCGCGGAACTGAAAATGGTGTGAGGGAACTAGTCGCTCATTCTTTTTGGATGATATGGCACAACCCAACGATCTAGTCTGCGTTGAACATGCCCACCTTTATACCAACCTCTGCCATGTGAAGCTGCCCGTGGAGCAAGCTCCAAGCGGTGAGTACATGTAGAAACTTTTGCAAACCCCACATAGAAACAAAGTCCGAGAACATATGCAGGGTTTCATTGCCAAGCGACGAGGATCATCATATCAAACTGTTCACCTGGGGGTCGGTTGTGCCCCGTGCTTCCACCATGACGTTTGTTTGAACTGCTCCGGGGTCGACATTGCAATACTGGATTTGGCACATGCGGATCGACGCTCGTCCGGCAGACCAGAGGACCTTGTATGCAACGCGAGACCCAGCTGCAAGATCCCTGGCGTGGACCACCATGCCACCCGAGTCCACTCTCCAACTCCAAAAGCGAGCGACTCAAGATGTTCTACAAAGGTGACTGATTTCTAATCGGGAGTTTTGAGCTAGACGAAGAATGGCGCAGGAGTGGTGCCGGAGCGACGGCTCGATCCGTGGAGTAATACAGGCTAACGAACAAACGTCATTCCTCCATCATTACTTTTTCTATTCATATTAGATCTCATGTCATGAATCTTTTCGCTTACGGGATCAAGGTACATAGTCAGCTCAGGAAATGCTCCAGCTGTAGTTGTCACTTGGGAGAAAGGACCCATCAGCCTCTCAATCGGGCCATAGGGTCTACCCCACTGGTGCCACGGAGTCCGTCAACGTTGAGGCGGAGATGATTTCTCATGCTGCTTCATCGGATTTAACGGTCGTAAGTTTTGGCAGTCCGTTGCGATGGGTACCCTCAACAAAACTGTCGCAGCGAATAGCTACCACTATGCTTCCTCAGGCTTCAAATTCCAGACGAAACCATTTCTTTACAAGGCATTTCAAGATCACGCACAGAATCACTGATCCGTCAGTTCCGGTGACAAACATGCTACCTTGAACTAGCTATGACTATTATAGTTAAAATCATTATCGGTAGTTCTGCAACAGTCGAGAATGAGGTGGTAAGTCCCCACCCCTGGATCCGGAACACCCCCTTATGCGGAACAGTAGACCAAAACGACTATAAAAAACATAATTAATTAGAAATCTTAATAATATCGCAATTATATTAATCTATTATATAAAATTAATATTAAAAAAACTAGAATTCGATTTTTTATTTTTTTTACTGTTTTTATTATTTAAAAAAAGATTTTTTATATTTATTTTTATAATTTATAAATAATATCGATTTTAATAAATTGTTTATTCGGCCTAAATGTTATATTTATTTTTATATATAATTTATAAACTTTTATAATCTTTTTTAATTAATAAATCCGTTTTTTATAATCGGTAATAAAAGTATTTTTTTTATTTAGATTTTTATTAAGTTTAAAAAATAATATATAACTTTTTATTTTATTAATATTAAGGCGGAATAATAAAATAAAAATAGTCCTTTTTAAATTATTTAAATACTTAAAGGTTATTATTTTTTTTATTATTTAATTTTAAAAAACCGGGGTTACCGAAGGTTTTTCTTTTATAAATAATTACTTTTTTTATTTATTAAAAAGAAATTACCGATTTAAAAATATTTTATTAAAATTAAATAGCTAAATATTAATTACTTTTTATTTAGTACGTATATTTAATATTATTAAAGCTTTTTAATACGCTTTATTATAATAATAAAAAAAATTCTTTTTATTAATAATTAAGAGGTTTATAAATATATATAAAACTTTTATTTTTTTATAATATTTTAATTTTAATATATTAAAAATAAATATGTTGAAAAGTTAAATTATAAAAAAAAAAAATAATAAAAAGATTAAATATATCCCGCGGATATAATATTTTTATATAAACGTATTAAAATAATAACTACCGTATTTATTTAATATTAAAAAACGATTAAAACTTTTATTAACGCCTTTTAATTTAATTTAAAATTTAAAAACGTTAATTAATTAAAAAATATTAAAATATTATTTATTTATTTATTTTTAGTTAACGTATATACATAGCGAGCGGGCCATTATAGCGAGCGGGCCACTTCTATTATTATCTATACCTCTTCCCTTTATAATAACTTTCTTTTACATACGATAATAGCTTTTTATTAAAAAAAAGCCGTATTATCTTTATATTTTAAACTATTAAAAAAGACTTAAAACTATTTATATAAAAAGTCGCTATTATTTATAATATCCTAAAAATAATATTTTAATACCGACGCGTCGGCCGACTATTATAATAAAAAACGTATACGAATTTAATAAAGATAACTTTTTTAAAAAAAACCGTAATTCTTAAATAAATTATTAACTTAATTAATTAAGGATTTCCACCGCGACTTAATAACGTACGAAATATAGCCGATTATTTTTTTAATAAACGTAACGTAACATATATTAAATTATAATAAATAAAGAACTTTATACGACGTTAATTATAATTAAAAACGTATTTTTAATATAAAATCGATTATTAAAAGGTATTAATTAAAAATCTTATAATTATCTAAGCCTAATTTACCTTTGTACGAAATACGATTATAAAGTACTGTTACGGCCAGCTAGTCGTAGTGAGGTTTATATTAACAGAAGTCGGGGCTGCGATACTAGTAAACAATAGTCGTCGTAAAAATAGCTTTAATAAAGCTATTGTTTATAAGTCGTAAGATAAGTAAAGCTTCAGTAATTAATCGTAATCTTATTAAATAAGTTCTTAATAAAGATAGCTAAAAGCGATCGTTAAATTTAATATAAAAATTAATTATTAAAAAAGCTATAGAAGTCTATCCTTAAGCCTAGCTCGGGCCATCCTATATATAAATCCTAATCGTAAATATATTTTTTATAATATTTTATTCGTTATTATCCGACCGTTTATCGAACGGTCGTCCGTCCTATATTTCTATAATCGCTCGTCTTATTTATTCATAAGCGTCCGTTTTTTATTTTATTATATAATTATAGTTATATAATTTATCTATAGTTCTTCCGTCCCGAGGGAGGCTATTTAAGTTCTTATTATTATATATATAATATAATAGCCGCCGTAGGTCCTATAGGGCAAGGCCCTAGTCTAGCAATGCGTATTAAGTCGTAATATTAACTCTTCCCCTTAAAAGTTTAATCCCTAGGCCTATAAATAAGTCATTCGTTCCTAAGTTAAGGAATCGTTAAGTATTTTCATTAAAATATACTAACGCTATATCAGGTCGAATTAAAAAATCGAAATCGTAAATAGCTACGTCTCGTCGCCGTTTATTACGTATTATTCATTTCTTTAATAAAAATATAAAAATAATACCGTACTCAAATTATTATTTTTAAAATATTCGTTATTTAATTCTCCTTAATTCCGATATTTATAGAATATATTATCGTCTAAGTATTTTATATAATATTTTTATTAATACTATTTATACTTATAAGTTTCCTAAGGACTATCTCTTACGGGTCCCGATTAATAAATATAATAAATCGTTTAATAATAAAGTCTAATTGCTTTAATTATAAAAAATAAATAAAAAAATCGCG